CTTTCCATTCAGTGCAGCTTCATTTTATTAGGTCCTTTAAGCTAGTTTTGATGGAAGAAAGGAAATTTTAAGGCGAGAACAGAGCTAGCTTTAGGAAAAATAGTGAAAAAAATATTTTTTGCTTTTTTCTTGTTAGTTTACACCTACTTTCCTCTGTTTTTGTGACCTTTTTCTCTTTGGCAACTTAAATGTTGTGAAAAATAGAATTACCCCTACTGTGAAATATGTGCATATTCTTAATTAAACTATTTATTGAGCATATGACATATGCTATACCCCTTGCCAGATGCAGTGAGACTTAATCCTTTTGTTTCAAAGAGATTACATCTGTTGGGCAGAAGAATCAAGTAAATAGAAAATTGCAAGGCAGAGTGATTAATGCTACCGTAGAATAAGTAGGAGAGAGGTTGCTAACCCAGGAATAGTGGTTGGGTTGTTGGACTTGGCAGTGGATGTGGTGGCATAGTAGCCCAGTGGGGAATGGCATTCTCATTATTAGAGGTCAAGATTCTTCACTAGGATACCCAGGATCTAGTTTGGTATTTGACCCTCCATGGGAATGGTTCTTTAGCATCTGGACAAATGATTCTTTGTCTGCAGCTCTGCAGTCAGGACTTTCAATGTCTTAAAATAGGAGACTGCCCTCTTCCATTTTAGCACATTCTCTGCCACCCAGTATCCCCCAAACAGACCCCAAGTTATAGATAAGCAAACTAGAAATGGGATTTGCCCTTGAGGAGCTTATAGTTAAACAAGAGGACCAGATACTTAATACATGCTGTAAGGTGTTTTAATAGAAGTACAAAGAGGGACAAGAAAGGCTGAAGCTTCATAGTCACCATTTTTGTGAAAAGGTTCTTCAGGTAACCATTATTTCAGTATTCCTTGATGTCTAGAAATACAAAATTAATCACAAAAAAATTTACATTTGACAGATTATTAACTAGTACTCGATTATTGTTTATGCAGTGTCTTTGAAAATGTATTTTCTGGAGCAGTACCCTTCAAATTCACAAGATTGGGATATGATTCTCTAGAAGCAGCTTCTGAAATTCACAATGAGGTCTTCCATTTGTGTGTTCTAAGATTATAGTTGTTGTTTTTCTTAGTTATTAATAAAGACAGGAAATCTGAACAGGAAATCTAAAGTTAATTCCACGTGCAGTTGGCTAGCCAGAAAATTCTCCCAAACATTTAATGAAAGCATAACACTAGTCTTAACAGAAATGCTTCTGGAGAATAGAAATAAGAGAATATTCAGATTCATTGTCTGAGGCTAGCATAAATCTTTGTAACAGAACTTGACAAAGACAATATAAAAATGGGAAAAGGTAACCAATCTTAAGAACATAGACATAAAAATTCCAAGAAAAATACTAGCAAGCCAGATTCACCAATAAAAGGGCAATACAATAAATACTAAAATGAGTTTATTAGACTATAAAGGTGGCTTACTATCTAAGAACTGATCTGTGTATTTCACACATTACAAAAAATTATAATCAGATGCAGAGTATTTTGATAAAATGAAACACACATTCTTTACAGGTCTTTAGCAAACTGGAAATAGAGGAAAAATAGCTTAACTTGCTAAAGGGGTCTAATAAAAAGGATTACTGTAAATATGGTACAGTTGAGACTTGGGATAAAACATTCTGCTTTATCACATCTGTTTATCAGTATACCAGAGGTCCCAGCCAGTGCAGGAAAGACAGGAAAAAGAAAATGTGTTGGAAAGAAATCATCATTTTCTGCTAGATAGGATTTCTTTTCTTAAGATTTATTCTTTGTTTATTGGAAAGGCAGAATGACAGAGGTAGAGGCAGAGAGCGCTGGTCCACTCCCCAAGTAGCCACTATGGCAGAGGGCCAGAAGCCAGGAACCCTGAGTCTGTCTGGGTTTCCTACAAAAATGGTGACTATGAAGCTTCAGCCTTTCTTGTCCCTCTTTGTACTTCTACTAAAACACCTTACAGCATGTATTAAGTATCTGGTCCTCTTGTTTAACTATAAGCTCCTCAAGGGCAAATCCCATTTCTAGTTTGCTTATCTATAACTTGGGGTCTGTTTGGGGGATACTGGGTGGCAGAGAATGTGCTAAACTGGAAGAGGGCAGTCTCCTGTTCTAAGACATTGAAAGTCCTGACTGCAGAGTTAGCTTCCATTGCTTCCCTAGGTGCATTAGCAGAGAGCCCGACTGGAAGCAAAGCAGCTGTGACTCCAGCTGGCACTCTGTTCTAATATGGGATGCTGGTGTTGCAGGGCATGACTTAATCTGTGGCACAACACCAGCCCCAGCTGGATGGGATTTTTTTTCCCTTAAAAAAAAAATTACTTATTTGAAAGGCAGAGCCAGAGAAACAGGAGAGAGAGATCCTCCATTTGCTGTTCCACTCCACAAATGGCCATAATGGCCAGGCCGAAGCCAAGAATCAGGAGCTTCTTCTGGTTCTCCCACGTGGATGCAGGGACCCAAGCACTTGAGCCATCCTCTACTGCTTTCCCAGGCACATTAGCAGGGAGCTGGATCGGAAGTGGAGCAGGCGGGTCTTGAAACGGTGTTCATATGGTATGTCGGCACTGCAGGCGGTGGCCACCTGCTGTGCCACCCACCGGCACCCGGTTCCCCAGCTAAGGCCCCAAGGAGGGAAGGAGAGCGGTTAGGATAATGCTCTAGGAAGTAGAACCTGGTTTGTTGTTTTTTGTTTTTGCTGACTAGTACTCAATTTTGCCCCATCAGCCTAAAATACGATCACATCTAATTGCCATTTGCTTTAAAACAGCCCTCTTTTTCCACGAGGACCCCTTGAGTGCCTTCTCTCCTCCACTTACATGCACGTAACAGTCTTTTACTTAGTGTGCTTTTTACGGAATTCCTCCCATTCTCGTGGAGCCTTAACGTGATCAGGTCAGGAGCTCAGTCGGCTTCAGTGGTCATCCTTGTTTCCATCCTCGGCAGGGTCTGGACAGCGTTAGGCTTAATGCAGCCTCGGAGTCGGACAAGTTGAGTTCTGACCTGCTTGTGAAACACTTCTGTTTACACATCGATCAAAACTCCTGCTTTCCAGGCCACATGAATACCTGCTGTGAGAACTGAGCTTGGTTACTGTTAAGTCCCGAGACTTGGCGGGGACAGCGGCGCACGAGACTTGAACGAAGTGGACGCGGGGCCGGCTGCGCAGTGGCGCTGAGCGCCGCGCTCTGTTGCCGGAACTAGCCCGAGTCGCGCGCCCTCGGCTCTGCCCCGCCCCCGCGGGTGGAAACAAAGGGGGCTCGGGCGCAGAGCCGGGCGGAGGGGAAAGGGGCGGAGCGCTTCGGCCTTCTGGCGCGCGGGGCTTCCCAGGTTTGTGCCGGCAAGGGGGAGGGGCGGGCAGCCCAGAAGTCAGAAGTGGGCGGGCCCTGTGCCCGAGCCTCCTGCGCGCGCAGCGGAAGGCAGTGCGCCGGCGCGCGGCAAGCCTGGTCCGCGAGCGTCCGGGCGGGCGCGGTGGGGCGGGGCCCCCCTCGTGCGGCGGTGCGGACCGTGCCGAGGCCCGGGCGGTTAGGGCGCGGGGGCGGAGAGGATGGAGCCTCCTAGGCGTTAGCCGATTCTGCCAGGTCTGAGCGTGCAGTCGTCGTTTCCTGGCGCGACCCGTGCGTGTGATGGTGCCGGGAGGAAGGAAGCGCCGTGACAGCGCCTCAGTCGGAGCCCGGGGTCCGGGGGTGAGGAGGCCCGGGGACGGCGGATCTGGCGAGCTGGCCGCTGGCTGGGCAAGCGGTCACAATAGGAGGCGGCGGCCCGGAGAGGAGCCGCGGGAGCAGCCCCGCAGGGCGGAGCCTCCCCTCGCAGGTACTGGCCGCTGCGGCCGTTGGCTCCCCGCGAGGGCGGGATGGGCCGGGGGCTGCTGGGCGCCTGCAGTGCCGCGCCCGGCGCCCGGCGGAGGTCTGGCCGGCCGCTCGGGGCTCTTTGTTCCTGCGGCGGCCGCTGTCGGGGAGCCGCGGCCCGCCGCTGTCAGGCAGATGGCCTCGTTCTCCCGCTCCCTCCCTTTTTGCTGAGGCGCAGGTGAAATGATGTCACCCAGAAGAACGCGGAACCCGGTCCTCCTGCTCCGCGGCTTTCTGCGCGGTCTGCGTTTGTTCTCAGGGGATGGAACTTCTTTTCAGGGCTGAAGAATGAGCGAGGTTGGTTTTTGAAAGGGAGTTTTTCAGGTTAGCGAGAGCCAAAGAGAATAAAGTTTTTGTTTTCGTGTATTTGGCTTGTAAGGGACGGCGCTTTTCTTTGTGTTGTAACAATGATGTGTGCTCTTACTCCGTAAAAGTTGGGGATGCTAATTCTTCTACCATAAATAGAAGCGAATGCTTACGTATAATCTTCAAATTGCCATTTCTTTTTCTTTAGCAGTGGACTTAACGGTTGAGAATTTAAATGTATTCAGTATTTGTACACAATCATTTGTTAACTAGAATCGCAAGCCTGTGGATCTTACTTGGCTTCGATTGTAGGTATTGTTGTAGTAAACACATTTACCACAGATACATTTAAATAGCAAGAAGTCCTTATAAGTAGGTTCAAAATAATTCATTCAGTGTTTTTATATGGACAGTTGGAATCAAAGTAAAATTGTTCTTTTATTAAGAGAACGTGGTCTAGTTTAAGTTCTACAGAAGTAACGCTACAAGACCACGTGGAGTTGTCAGGTCAGGTGTGGGAAGCTGTGACATAATCAAAAGATGAAATTTCTATGGAATTAAACTGGGGATTGTATCACTTTAGCTACGCTTTTCTGCATATTCTGCCTGCCTATAAATACACTTGTAATTCACCTTTTGAAAACCCATACTTTAGTTTTTATTATTAGCATCTATTTTTAAGTGGATTTTTATAATTTTCTTTTACCTATTCCCAAGAGAGCTGGAGGCCCTAGGGGCTATAGTTTTACTTCTGGGCCGGACTAGACCTAAGGGCTTCAGGTCCCCATGTGTAAAGTATGAAAGAGATGAACTTAAGCCTTCGCTGTGGTCTCTCCACCTCTGACAGCTTCTAGAAGATAGTTTGTGTTTCTACACTTGTTGGGATTTATATATGCTCATCCTCTACTTCTATATAACTAGAAATGTCTCTATTAAAGCCACCTGATTTTGGACCAAGAGTAAAGAGGCTGGCGTAGTGAGACACAACTGAATGTGTTAGCATCATAATGTAGAGTGTAGAGCTATTGTCTCTGCCAGCAGCATTGGATGAGGCTTTGGTTACCTTACACCAGTAGACTTTGCTTGTTTTTCACATTCTGAGGCTGTGAGTGGGAAGTATGGGTGAGAAATCCTTAGATAAGAATCGTTGTTAATTAGGTTCTTGATCAATACTCAAGGATTGGTCAAGACTATTTTGGGTCTTTCACTTCTAGTTTATTCCTTCTGGTTTTGTACATTTTGTGCTATACCTAGTTTTACTTGGGCCACTACCTTTGGTAATTCATTTTGCTGGAAATGTAGAACTTGATTACTCTTGATTGCTACATAGTATCTGAAGGCTACTTACTGGATTTTTGGTTGTTTTCTGTTAAGTACTTAGACAAGTTTTTGCTTCTACACTGGTTAACATAGCTTGCTTTTTCTCCAAACAGAGCAGACAGATTGTAAACTTGCTTGAGCCGTACAGTTTTTACCCAGTGCATTCGTTGGCAGATGTTAAGTATGTAATATGACATTGTTTATTTAGAGGAGATAAAGCAAAAGCTTGAACTCAGTGTAGTAAATTAACTAACAGGAGAGAAATTTGGACTAAACAGATGAAGAAGAGAGGTCATATATATAGTCTCAACTTAAATCTTTTCATGTTCCTTTTTAAAAGATCTAAATAAACACAACCTCACTTTCACCTTTGGGGCCCTATTGTCCTCATTTAGTTCCTGGTAATTGTCCATTTCTAGACCAAATCTTTTTGAGTGCAAGGGCTATTTCTCATTGTGTTCACATTATGATTGCAGTTTAGTAAGATGATCAAAATCACAAAGAGCTCATCTCGTTTCAACTCTTGTGAATCTTGCTATTTTATATGAGTATTGATTTGGGCTGGTCATGATCTAGAGATAATTCAAATCCTTGTAGTTCTTTAGAGTTTACCAGTCTAAGTAAAATGATTTTAGACACACCTCTTTGAGGAAAGAAAATCTGGTAGGGAAGGAAAGAAAAAATAGTTAAAAATGTGTAACTCTTGTTTTCCTTAATTTACTCCCATCTTCCTTCTCAGTACATGTGTTGAATCTAGGAGTTTGCTAATTGCATGTGTCTCACTTCCTCCTTCCTTGCTGTTAATTTATGGGACTGTGTACTGGGAAAAGGAAGTGGGACACCTTAGGTTGTTTTCACCAACGCGGATTCTCTGTGCTCCCAGGAAGACAGGGGTTCAATTTGTTGTTTGCTTTAATTTGGTTTTTGAAGAATGATCGTTCCAGTGCTGTATAGTAATGGTCCCTTGCTAATACTACTGCCTATTAGCTTTTCAAAAGTTAAAGTTTAGAGAAATGCATTATGATAGTTATGTAAAAGTAATAAACTTTTGTCATTTATTAGCTTTCACAGTTTTCCCTGTGCCATCTCTGTGTGATTGTTGAAACTTTGAGAAGAGTTAGATACTTGTTTTGTACCTCAAAAGATAGTAAGTCTTGGTGTGTCAGCACTGTCCACTGTTTGGACCTCAGCTTTCCAGGATCAGGTTCTTGATTTTTTCCCCCTACCTCTTTCATTAACATACTCAAAGTTGACCAAAGCTATTTTTTAATTAAATCAGCGTTATCAAGTTGGCGATTTATATACCATGGGATTCACTCATTGGCTCAATTCAGTGATTTTTATTATAGGGTTGTGCAGCCCTCACCACAATCACAATTTTAGAACATTTCTTCCATCACCAAAAGATCATTGTGCCAATTCAGGTCTGCATGTTGCATGGCTTTAAAGGCCGCAATCGTATTCCTTTTTCTAAGAGCCTCTTCCCTGCTCTACACTTGCAAAATTCAGAGAACTTTGCTTGTAAGACGTGAAAGCCAAGGAAACAGATTTGTCTTTGGTTCAGTGATAGAACTGTTGTCAAAGACTGGCAAGTCCTAATCTTAGGGGGCTGGGGATGGAGAGGGCACCAGCAAGGAGCGTAGTGCCATCAGTATCTCTTGATTATTCCTGCCTCATTAGTGGGTTCAGTGATCTGTGGGTGAGTGAATCATCTCTTCCCCTGCACTGATCAGAACTTATGTGTGCTTCCTTGAGTGCACAATCAAATCGTTTCATAGATTGGCTACCTTGTAGTCTTTGCCAGGGGCAGGGGTGATGGGGGGAGATTTTATTTATTTGAAAGGTAGAGTTACAAGTAGGAGAGACAGAGATCTTCCATCTGCTGGTTCACTCACCAAATGGCCACAGTGGCCAGGGCTGAGCCAGACTGAAGGCAAGAGCTTCATGTGGGCCTCCCATGTGGGTGGCAGGGACCCAAGCATTTACCATCTTCCCTTGTGCTTCCCCAGGCCATTAGCAAAAGCTAGATCAGAAGTGGAGCAGCCAGGATGCGAAATGGCGCCCATATGGGATGCTGACTTTGCAGATAGCAGCTTAACCTGCTACACCACAATGCTGGCCCCAATCCCTGTGGTTTTTAGAAGGAATTCTTAGTTTTTTCTTCCAAATCTTCTAAAATAACTTTTATCTCAAGTTTGAAGTTATGTTTATTTAGCTCCAATGTTAATCATAGCATTTAAATAAATTTAATACGATCTGATTACTTTCTGAGAGTAATATTTGCCATTATGGAAGCTGTGAGAATATTTTCAGAATGTTTGTACTTTTAGGTTATTTGGATTTGACCTCTTCATTTTATAGTTGCCCAGAGTTGGATCTAGAGAAGGAATAACTTCCTGGAGGTTTCAACTCATCTGGTTTTTGTTTTTCCTCTTTTATATTTGGCTATGATGTGGGTGCTTTTGATCAGTCAGTGTGCTGCTAGTAATAGTGAACACTTTTTTTTAATGGGCTGTTTGGGCCTTTGAACAATTTATTTTATAGAAAGTACTTTATTTAATACAGGCCTAAAAAGGTTGTGTGCCTACACAGCCTCTACCTTCTCAGAGAAATGTAAATGAATGAAGAAGGAAGCTATCATCAGAAGCAATTTTAGAGGAAACAAGTTCTGAACAATGTCTTGTCCTAAGCCCCCTATTATTTTTAACACAGTATCAGGTAATGGTTACTACAGTCTCCAAGGAAGGTTAAATGGTTGGTTATATTATGGTTATCAAAACCAGGGGAAGGCACATTAAAAAAAGAAGTGAGATTGGTACTTAAAATAGTGATATTGGTACTTAAAAGATTAAACTGTTTGCTGAAAACTTTGGTCTTGTGAGGCTATTGTTTTCATTTTTGCTGGGTGTATTAATCATAAGCTATATGCAAATAAGCATTAAAAATGAGAAGTTCTGGGAGTTGCAGATTTAATGCTGTCTCGGCATTTCCATGGCAGAATTTTTCAAATATAGTTTGTATCCTGAGAGAAGGCTGAAGTTACCAAATCTTTATACTATGCACTAGATAATAAATGTAGGGTTGTACCAATTTTCAGGTGTAGTGTAACCTTAGTTACACTTACTTAGTGATTGTAACTGAGGGAGAATTAATAAAAAGTAATACCTAAAACATTTTATGAAGAAATAAGTTGATTATTTAAAGCTATTTTAGATATTTAAAAATAGATCTTGTGGAATAGTTAATTATTAATCAAATTAGATTATAAAGAAGAATGTTATTATTATTTGAGAGAAGATAGAGACAAGACTCCTATCCTACTGGCTCACTCTCCCACGTGCTCACAACTTCACTGAAGCAGTAAATGTTACTCAAGCCAGGAGCTAAGTACTCAACCCATTCTTCTGTATAAGTGGTAATAACTCGCCGGCGCCGCGGCTCACTAGGCTAATCCTCCGCCTAGCGGCGCCGGCACACCGGGTTCTAGTCCCGGTCGGGGCGCCGGATTCTGTCCCGGTTGCCCCTCTTCCAGGCCAGCCCTCTGCTGTGGCCAGGGAGTGCAGTGGAGGATGGCCCAGGTGCTTGGGCCCTGCACCCCATGGGAGACCAGGAAAAGCACCTGGCTCCTGGCTCCTGCCATCGGATCAGCGCGGTGCGCCGGCCGCAGCGCGCCGGCCGCGGCGGCCATTGGAGGGTGAACCAACGGCAAAGGAAGACCTTTCTCTCTGTCTCTCTCTCTCTCACTGTCCACTCTGCCTGTCAAAAAAAAAAAAAAAATAAGTGGTAATAACTCAGTCACGTGAATAACCCCCCTGCCTCCCAGGGTCTGCATTAGCAGGAAGCTGGAATCCAGAGCTGGGTATTGAACCCAGGTACTTGTTTTGTGGGTTGAATTTGAACCTTGGAGTCCAATAGACTGAGGCTCAAATATGATTTTTGGCTTTTCTTTCTCTTTCTTTATTTACATTTATTTGAAAGTCAGAGGAGAGACAGAAAGAGATACTCCATCCTCTGGTTCACTCCCCCAGATTGTTGCAGTGGCCAGGGCAGGGTCAGGCTAAAGCCAGGAACCAGGAGCTTGTTTGGGGTCTCCCACATGGGTAGCACTTGAGCCATCTTCCACTGCTTTTCCTAGGCCGTTAGCAGAGAGCTGGATCGGAAGTGCAATAGCCCAGACATGAACTGGCGCCTGGTGCGCATATGGGATGCTAGGGTCACAGGTGGTGGCTTTGCCTGCTGCACACAACACTGGCCCCCTGATTTTGATACTTTTTTTAAATTTTTTTTTTTTTATTTTTTGACAGGCAGAGTGGACAGTGAGAGAGACAGAGAGAAAGGTCTTCCTTTTGCCGTTGGTTCACCCTCCAATGGCCACCGCGGCCAGTGTGCTGCGGCCAGCGTACCGCGCTGATCCGATGGCAGGAGCCAGGTACTTATCCTGGTCTCCCGTGGGGTGCAGGGCCCAAGTACTTGGGCCATCCTCCACTGCACTCCCTGGCCACAGCAGAGAGCTGGCCTGGAAGAGGGGCAACCGGAACAGAATCCGGCGCCCCGACCGGGACTAGAACCCGGTGTGCCGGCGCCGCAAGGCGGAGGATTAGCCTAGTGAGCCGCGGCACCGGCCCTGATTTTGATACTTCTAAGCTATGTGACTTTAAGAAAGTCAGTTAAACCTGATAGGAGATGTTTAACGATCAGAGAGCCCAGTTAGGTTCCTGGCACAAAATTAGCTATTACCAGATTGAGATGTTAAAAACTGCTGTAAATGCTTAAATAAAAAGTCTTGGCTTTTATTTTTTATTTTTTTAAAAGATATTTTTTGAAAGGCACAGTTCGAGAGAGAGGGAGAAAGATCTTCACTGGTTCACTCCCCAGATGGCCCCACCTGCCAGGCTGAAGCCGGGAGCCAGGAGCTTCATCTGAGTCTCACATGGGTGCAGGGGCCCAAAAACTTGGACCACCTTCTGCTGCTTTCCCAGGCATATTAAAAGGGGGCTGGATCAGAAGCAGAGCAGCCCACAAGGGATGCCAGCGTAGTGGGTGGTAGTTTAACCTGCTATCCCCAGTGCCAGCCCTAGTTTTGTTTCATAATCAAGTTAGAAGTCAGAATTCTGGAAAAGAAACTTTCCTTGTATGTGGTACAATAATTGTTATTCTGGTTAAAAACATATATGGTTTTTTTTTTTTCTGTTGTGTGTAACAAGTGACCACATGTGAATTTGCTTAAAACACAAATGTATTTTCTCACAGTTTTCTTGAATCAGGCATCCTGGTATAGACTAACAGCTGGTCACTCTGATAAGAATCTTAGGTAGTTATAGCTGTGATTTAATAAGACTGGGTGTGTCCTCTTCCATGTTCACTGGTTGTTGATAAATTGTGTTTCTTAAGATTACAGTGAGGAGCTAGAATGTGATTATTGAGGCCCCTTGTTTTCTTTGTAGCTGTCAACTGGAGACTACTCTCAGGACTCTAAGGCGTGGCTATGTCTTCTGACAGTGCAGCAATTTTGTCTCAAGGGCTGGCAGGATATCTTCAGGAAGGATGGCTTCTCCTTTAGGATCCTTTTCTGAATGAGTCAGTCCTACCCATGACAACCTCCATCTTTGATCAACTTAAAATCAGCCTATTTGTGATTTCATCATGGGAATGAATCACTGTGAATATGATTATTCACAGTGCCCACCTACAAGGGAGGGCTTGTATGGCAGATGTATACTAGAGGAGGAAACCCTGGGGAACATGTTAGGTAGGTAGTCTGCCTTCCCCCACTACTCCATCTCCCAAATGTGTGATTTTATCTCACCCAGTGAGAATATACCTGATTTTGATAAAGCCCATCTACTGTTTAGTCCCAGACTTAATTTAACTACAAGACTTAGCTTTTTACCATTGTCTGATTTGTCTTCTCTTTTTTTATAAGTAAGTGGAGCACTGGCCAAAAGACACTCTTTTTTGGTCCTTTTGTGGGTAGGAGACTATATGCTAGAAATTGATTAACTTCTGACCACAGGGGCTAGGGTTGTCAGGTTTTAATTTATTTATGACCAAAATTTTATATTTTCAAAGGAACAAAGACTGAAGGAGAGGAAACATTTACCCTTTGATTTTTCTTCCAACCACCTACTTTGTACTGCTGATTTGTAAGACTGCTTTGGGCATTATGTAGTTGGAGACAGATGGCCTTTTTAAACCACTCTACAAAGGTTACTTACTGTGTAAATTAAAAATGTAAGAGGATTGCAGAAAGATTATTGAACCTACATACAGGAACACAGACCATTTTGAGAGAGAATTGCTTTAAAAAATGATAAAAAACACTCCTTAGTTTGAGTTGAATCAGGAATGTGATCCACAGCTGTTTCTAGGAAATCTTGTCTTATTCTTACCCTCAGAAAGAGTCAGGCTCTTACTTGCGTATGATTTTTTTTTTTGTCTGTCTGACAGCATTTGAATATTATGCTGCAGCTCAGGGACGGAGTCCATGTTTTTTCTGTCTTTACTCACATAACTTTGTCTTGTAGGAGACAATTAGTAAATATTCCTTGATTCAGCAGTGCATACTTCTTCCATAGTAAAGAATATTAGTGCACACTTATTTGCAGTAGAGAGATAAAAACATTTTATATAGCATCCTGGTGAATTCTAAAGTGCTTTGCTTTTTATTCCTAGGAGGGTCTTTGGGGAGGTACTTTTACCAGTAGCATGGTTAGCTATTTACCAAGCTCATGAAAAACAGTAACAAAAAATCGTAAAGGGCTTAGGAAAGTTATTTCAGCAGGGATATAAACACAGTTAACATTCAACTTCATGATGTGTTTTCTACCTTCCTCTCTGGCAGTTTCCTTTCTGTCCAGTTATGCTGAACATTTTGTTGTTTCTTGTCTACACTGTTTCTGTCTTTTGACAGTTAATGTTTCCACAGCATCTGGTATCTACTCTATGAAAGTATTTATATTGTATGGTGACTTTTTAATAGCATACTTCCTTTAAAAAAAAGAAAAGATTATTTATTTATTTGAATAGGGAGGTAGTCTGGCCCAGACATGAACTGGCACAGAGAGAATGCAGAGAGGCAGCGAGAACGAGAGAGTATGAGGTCTCTCCCCTGCTTCATTCTCCAAATGGCCGCAACAGCCAGATCTGGGTCAGTCCAAAGCCAGGAGCCTCTTCTGGGTCTCCCATGTGGGTGCAGGGGTCTAAGTGCTTGGGTCATCTTCCACTGCTTTCCCAGTCCATAGTAGAGAGCTGGATCAGAAGTGAAGCAGCCAGGTCTCAACCTGGCAGCTTTACCAATTATGCCACAGTGCAGGCCCCAACATGTACTTCTTGAAGGCGGGAAACCATGCCTTTTCTTTTTGCTTTAATGCCTACCATTGAATTTACACTTAGATGTTAAGACTGAATAAATGAATGGGCAGTGAAACATTTAAAACAAGATAGTATTCAAGTATATGATTTTTAGTGTAGGGACAAGCTGATCCTAAAGCCTCAATTTCCAAGGAGGATTCACTGTCACAACACAGTGATGTTCATGATTTATTAAGTGCCAGAAATTAAGTATATTTACATATTTGTTTAAGGGGATTAAGTGACAATCAACACAAGCATTTAAAGCATGCAATCGTTTACTTTCAGATTTAAGATTTTGTCCTTTATTCTTTAGGACAGTTGCCAGCTTGTGTTGATTAGAGCTCAGCTCTCCATGGTCAAACAAAAGGTTACTATATATCATATGGTGTACAGTCACATGTATGATAGTTACAGAAGTTTTACTACAGATATTGTTTCTCATCTTTCTTTCTTTGCATAATCAATTGGAAGGTTAACTGAAAAATAGAATAAGGGAACATATTAATCTTAGTCCAGGTAAACACTCATCATTCTGTGTCTGACACACATGATTTTACCTTGAGTTTTCTTAATGTGAAGTCCTTTAGGATTTTAGAATAAACACCTATAGGAAAACTGGCAGTAGATGTTTTTGGGGAACAGGGAGGACTTGGTGTTCTTGAGCTGTGCTGATTTGTTTAACAAGGTTTTTATAACAGATCGATCCATTGCCAGAGGCAGCCTTTGCCATTCTTATGTTTTGATGTTTAAAATTACTGTTTACTTTCTTTCCAGTCTCGGCTAGCAAAATCACCAAATATCTAGGAAACCCAACTATCCATCACAGGCATGATTCTCCACATTGGTGCAGCTAGCCATGAACTATCCTTTTCTTCTCCCTCTTTTTCCCAGATATCTCCCGGGGCCAATTCAGCACCTCTACCTGGCCATCCTAACAAGGTGATTTGTGAAAGGGTGAGACTTCAGAGCCTGTTCCCTCTCCTCCCAAGTGATCAGAACACTACCGTTCAAGAGGATGCTCACTTCAAAGCTTTCTTCCAGGTTCTTATATATTTCCCTTTCCCTACATAGGGCTGAAAGCCACAGATAGATTCTAGGAAAGCTTGCAACAAATTCTCAGTATCTTCTTATTTTTTGTTATATGTAGGAATAAGTTCTTCTTAGAGGATTTCTTTAATGTAACTTTTCCAGCCGGCTTTTCTGAAGAACGTTTGTCTTCTCTTGAGCTACTGTTAATTATTTGACCAGTTAATAATGTTCTTATTGTTTGACCTTTTTGATCTTAATCATTTGTCTTAATAATCCAGGTTCTGTAGGAAAGTAGAAAATGTCATAGAATATGTGAACTTGTGAAGGAAAGGAAAAATGGAAACATAAGATTTTTAAAAGTCATCCTTGCTTATTTACTTAGTGCCCAGAATTTTATAATGTGTATTTCTGAAAGAGAACATGGTTACTTTGCCTTTTATGACTTTTGGTTCCTTGGTTAAAATGTGATTTGAAAATTGTTTTTGAAGATTGATTTATTTGAAAGTTATAGGGAGTGAGATCTTCCATCTCCAGATGGCCACAACAGCCAGCAGTTGGCTAAAGCCTAGAGCCAGGAGCTTCATGGGTGGCAGGGGCCCAGGTACTTGGGCCATCCTCCACTGCTTTCCCAGGCACATTAGCAGGGACCTGGATTGGAAGTGGAGCAGCCTGCACTGGAATCAGGGCCCATATGGGATGCTGGTGTTGCAGGCAGCCGCTTTACCCACTACACCACAATGCTGGCCCATGATTTAAACGTTTTTAAAAATACGGAACAAGAAAATTAGATATAAATGACTTAAACCATTATTAGGCTATTAATAATATTCCTGGGATCTGCTCACATAAATCATGGGCTACTAGACTTTCAGTGCATATTCCTAGGGAAGCTTGTTTTGGTACTGGATGACACTATTAACAGAAAAGAAACCCAATGGCATAACTGCTTCTCTGTGGTGGGCTTAGGGGGCCAAGTCATTTATTTATACATGTATGCACCTGATAGTTGCTAACCAAGGCTGGGACTTGAGGGTAAAGACAGTTCATTTTCTTTCTGTGTAGGGGTGACAGGTTGGGAGCTGGAACTAGTTTGAAAAAAAAAAATGCTTGTGACACATTTTAAGTTGGAGATAGGAAATTTCTGGGAACAAGCCATATAAATGATCCAGGATTATTCAATCTGACAGGTATTCCTTTTTGAAATTTGTGCTAAGTTCTCTGTTTCCCATGTATTAATTCCTTTTATTTTGATTTTTAAAAAAGATTTATTTATTGAAATAGTGACAGGGAGAATTCTTCCATCCTCAGATTCCCTCTCTAAATGGCCATGACCTCTGGGTCTGTGTTAGGCCAAAGCCAGGAGCCAGGAGCTATGCTTGGTCTCCCATGAGTGCCAGACACCCAGGTTTTTAGGCTATCTTCTGCTGGCTTCCTAGGCTAATAGAAAACTGCATCAGAAATGGAGCAGTGCCGGCGCTGTGGTGTAGTGGGTAAAGCTACCAGTTGCAGTGCTGGCATCCCATATGGGTGCCGGTTTGAGACCTGGCTGTTCCACTTCGGATCCAGCTCTCTGCTGTGGCCTGAGAAAGCAGTGGAAGATGGCCCAAGTCCTTAGTCCCCTGCACCCATGTGGGAGACCTGGAAGAAGATTCTGGTTCCTGGCTTTGGATTGGCCCAGCTCTGGCTGTTGCGGCTGTTTGTGGAGTGAACCAACGAATGGAAGCTTGCTCTCTCTCTCTGCCCCTGCCTCTCTCTAACTCTGCTTTTCAAATAAATTAAAAATAATAATAAAAAGCAGCCAGGACTCCAAAATGGCACTTTAGTATGGGATGCAGGTATCACAAGCAGCAGCTTAACCAGCTGTAGCACAGTGCTGGCCTCTGTTTTTAAATTTGGAGAATAAACCTAGGTATGGTTGTTATTTCTAGGTAAGGAAATAGGCTCAGAAAATCTCACTGAGATGCCCATTCACATCCAGTTATTATTGGCAGAGCAGGGACCAAAATCCAACTGAAGCTGTATCCTATCTACTGTATCATACTATCTTTAGATACATCAACAGGTATAGTGTAAACATAGTGAAGTATGTGTTGAGGCATAGATATCAGTATTGAATTAAATGACATTGATTACCATTTTTGATTATGGCTAAAGTAGCTTGATATTTAGATAACTGATAGATAAGGAAAGGGTTGACTCCATAGCTTTACTGCTGGCACCAGTAAACATTTTTTTGGACACTTTGTGTGTTCTCTAGATCCCCTTTGATTCTTCAGATATTAACATTTAATTTAAACTTAGAGAACAGCTGCCAAATGCAATAAATTTAAACAGCTGTTTTGAAAATAAAATTCTGATATAGCCAGTTGCCTTCAGGTATTGCAGAAAGTGAAAGGTGTTAAATTTGTATTTGCAGTCTTAATTCTTTCCTTTAACTTGAACCAAGACCTTTAGTATATTTTGCTCCTAAGGGAGACCAGAGGTTTTCTTTACTCAGCAACTATCCTGCCACTGTTCTCTGTGAAGCAAATAATTGATACTTGGAACTAATTTTGATAATAAAATTGGGTGTAATTTCTTCGTTCCAGTTATGCTTCCCTTAGATAAAAACTTAGCTTTCCTTTTCATGTGGTAACTTATCCAGCCATCTCCTGTCCTTACAAAAGTTATTCCCTTAAAGCCTTTGCTTTCTTTTTCTTGGCTTTCCTCCAAGTACCCACCCTCTCACCTCTGTACTTTTCCTTTACTTCAAAATAATTCACTTTAAACAGACTTACCTGCCTCTTCCATTTTATTTTCTTAAGGCACCCTTTCTACTTCGTTATCTTAGATAAAACTCTTTTTCTGAGGACATGACTTCTCCAGCAGCCTTTTCTAGGGGTAAGGAAATAGTTTTTTTCCCCTCACTCCAATGGGGTTGAGTGTGTGCCTAGTAATTAGGGTGGTCATAGAGAACAAGGGAAGTGCTGGTACTCTCCTGAGCCCTTATATTTTTTCTGACTACCAGTTTTTGAATGAAAAGCTCATCCTTTTTTTTAGCTTTTCTTCGTGTGTGTGTGTATGTTAGTCACCTCCATTATTTATCACTGTCCTTGTTTATTAAGAACTCTACTTTGATCCTGCTTTTTTAGATTTTTGCTGTACAACTACTAGTCCAGATTTTTAGTTGCAAAAAATTGTCTTTCACATTTTGCCTGGTTTATGACTTTTTTAAAAGATTTATTTAGACTCTTTAAATTATGAAGTATTTCATATATCCAAGTTACAAAGTATAGAGCAGATACATATGATAAATCACCATCCAGTTTAAGAAATTAACCATTAGTGATACTTATGAAGCTTCCATAAGACTCTCCATACAATATCCACCTGTTGCCATACCTATGCCTCAGGGTAAACATCTGTGATTAGTATCTTTTCGCTTATTTGTATGGATATTCTTGGATGCATGGATGCTGTACTGTTCTATTTTGCTTGTTTCTGAACTTACTGTAAGTGGTATACTTTGTGTACTTTTGAGATTCATCCATTTTAATGTATGTCCCTCTTTGCTTGATTCATTTTGCTGCTCTAATATTCCAGTATTTGAGCATATAAACTCTTGTTTATCCTCTTTCTTTTTGATTGACATTTGGGTAAACTTTTATGATTACTGTAATGCTTCTGACCATTGCATTTGTTGCCTAATACACATTTAGTTGATAATTTAATGAATCTATGATTCTCTGTTTTTAATGGTTTCAAGTCTGTGCCTCAAATTTAAAAATTTTAATTGATCAGTGTAGACATCTTTGTTTATAGATGAAAATTATTATAGTTACGAGTACTTGAGCTAGTATTGTGCTGGAATTAAATATAGTGGTTGAAAACTGTTATATCACCAAGTTAACTTTTTATGAACCGGTGATGTTTGGTACAATTAAAAATTGGGAAAAGTCTAGACCATATACATCACTAATGTGTTATTAAGAGACGGCCATGTGGGCTTTTCTAGACTTATGAAGGCAGCTTATGTGTTCCTGTGGATTAGCAGTTATAGCCTGTGATAGTCACAAAGTATTTTCACTCATTATGGAGGGATTGCAATTTTAAATTACACACTGGAATCCTATTCCAGGTACTCACTGCACAGAGGACTTATTTTCTTTGGGTTTTCATGGGGAAAACCACCAACTTACACCATGGCAAAAAGCAAAATTCTGATTGCTTTTGCTTGCTTATTGGTAACTGTTGAAAACACATCATACAAGGCCTCTTTTCCCTCGTCTCTACAAATACAGTAACATTCCAAGAGGATGTTTGCTTTGTCTGGTTGAGAAATTCGGTTTATCCTGAAATCTCTTTGAGCCCAGGTCTGTTAGCGCTGTTACATTGCTTCTCAGCCTTTTGGCTACGATCAAGTGTAGAGCTGTGTATATCAAAAATTGAAAGTCATGTAAGACAAAGACTATGTACACTGCATATGTAGTTCAAGAGTAGTATATTGAACAGTCAGTTCAATTTCACTAAGGGAAACATTTTACATATATGTGAGAATGATTTAAAGATTTGAGCTTGTGGAGAATTAAATGAGGTAATGTATATAGATCATTTTGTGAATTATATTGTATGATCCCCAAATATAAAATTACTGATTTTCTGCTTTTCCCTGCTTATATTTTTCCCTACCAAAAAATATAAATAAATAAAAAATCTGTCTTGATTATTCTTTACTAGCAAGTCTAAGGGAAAGAGTTGTCTGTCCTTTTTGATGATAGAGAACCAGGTTGCAGGGGCAGGGGTGTGGATATCACATTCCTTCTCTGTTTACCCCTTGCTTCTTGGTGAAGTAACTCCTTGGGGCTCACTCATGGTGAAGTCAGATGTGTATTAGTCATCATTTTAATAGGACTTGGAACTTGCTTCTGTTTTGGGCAAAATTTATCAGTACGGCATCTCCCATTACCTCCAAAATGTCCTGATATACTCCTGTACCCGAGATAGATTACAAGTATTAAATAAGTTTTTTTCTATAGCATATAATGACTTCTGACTTGCTTTGGTGAAATCATGGAAAACACTCAGGCCAGTCTCCAGGGTTGTTTTCACTTCTAATGATGTTTTGGTTGCATAGTGGCTTGGTGTTAATAGAAGTGTAATCTTTAAATCATTTTATCAGAGTCTTAATGATAAGTGTTAAACATCCCTACTTCCCTCCCTTTGTAACCCCAGCCCTCCTTGGCTCTCTTGATCCCTAAGTCTGTGCCAGTGTTCTATACTGCAGTATCTGTATAATGTTCTGTACCAGTAGAAATAGGACTTGGAGGTTGTTATCATCTGATATTTTGAAGTCAGCCTGCTGGCACACAATCAACAAGAAAAAGGAGTTTCTCCCCTAGAGAACCCAAAGCATAAATTTTTCTTTTGTGGTAATTTATCTTTAGGAACTTATGCTAAGAGTTCCTTATCTCTTAGTTCATTGGTTCTCAAAATTTGGTACTGGCTAAGCAACATCAAGCATGGGCTGGAATCATATTAGAAGTGCTGGTTTGTGGGCCTCAGTCCAGACTTTCTGAATTAGAGATTGAGGGGAAGACCAGCAGTCTGCTGTTGAGTCATGCAAAAGTTTTAGAACTGCTGGCCTGTGTTTTGGATTATCCCTTCATATTTGACTTTGCATTTATTTCTGTCAAGAGTCCTAGAGGTTGTATGGTTCTGAGTGAGTTTTTATATTAGTTTATGAACATACAGCTTTGTGGACAAAATTTGAATCTAAAACTTGATGTGAAGAGCGATCTTGGGTTTGAATCCTCCTGGAAGAAATTCCTTCTCTGTTCAAAGTTGCAACATTTTCCTTGTTAACTCTGTGCCATTGGGATGACCTTTTCTGGTCTTCCCTTCTTTGTATGTATACTGTTAAGGAAATTTTGACTGCATGTGCGGGGGGTGGGGGGTGCCCTCAGTGATAGGGCTTACCTTTTGTTCCTTCAGAGAGAATCTAAAACTAAAAACAAGCCTGGTTTTCAGTATTCCTCCATGTTTTGGGGTTCTTGCTAATTTCCCAGTTTTCCTGAGTTCAGCAGTACATTTAGAAAGTATGTTTTGTTAATACATTATTTCTGTATCTTTTTGTTAGGATTTTCACATTTAGTCTGTGATTTTTTTCACAACCCAGGTGTTTGGTGTTACTTTATCAAATTATAATTGTTATGTTTTGTTTTGTAACTATAATGCCAGCCCCCTAGGTTAATTGAAAAATTAAAAGAAATTAATTTGCAAGTTAGAGATTTTACATCTCTACTGGTTCACTCTCCAGAATGCCCACAAGAGCTGGAGCCTGGAACTCAGGTCTTCCATGTGAGTGGCAGGGACCTAAGCACTTGAGCCATCGTCTTGCTTAGTGGCTCCCAGAGTGCGTATTAGCAGTGGAGCTGGAACTTGAACCTGGGTACTCAACTATGGGATGTGGACTTTCCAAGCAGCATCCTAACCCCTGCTTCAGACTCCTACCCCATTTCTAGATCAGAAGCAATAAATATTTTTAGGAATATTGTTTACTGTTTGTTACCAGCTGTAGGGATAGCCTGTTTCTAGTGTTTATGTAGAGTTCATGTATGAGTTTGTCAGTTCTTGGTGATTCTACTGCATAATTTTGCTATTCAGAATGTCAGAAGTTTCTATGATTATTGACTGATTTGCTTATTAAAATCAAGGGATAAGATTAAGTGTACTAAATTAAAAATATTTTTTAAAGGTTTTTTATTTGAAAGAGTTGCGGAGAGAGAGAGAGAGAAAGAAAGAGATCTTCCATCCACTTGGTTCACTCCGCAAGTGGCTGCAACATACAGAGCTGAAACAGGACAAAGCTAGGAATTGGGAATTCCATCTGGATCTCCCATGAGGATGACAGGGACCCAAGCCCTCAGGCTATCTTCTCCTATTTTCTCAGGAACATTAGCAGGGAGCTGGATCGGAAGTGGAGTGGCTGGTACGCAAATTGGCACCCATAAAGGATGCCAACATAACAGGTGGTGCCTTAATCCACTGTGCCACAATGCTGGTCCCACTTTTAAAAGTTTCTAAAGGGGCCGGTGCCATGGCACAGTGGGTTAATCCTCCGCCTACAGTGCCAGCATCCCATATAGACACCGGTTCTAGTCCCGGCTGCTCCTCTTCCGGTCCGGCTCTCTGCTGTGGCCTGGGAAGGCAGTAGAGGATAGCCTGGGTGCGTTGGGGACCAGGAGAGTGCTCCTGGCTTCGGATCAGTGTCGCTCTGGCCGTTGCGGCCATTTAGGGAGGGGGCCAACGGAGGGAAGACCTTTCTCTCTGTCTCTCTCTCTCACTATCTGTGACTCTACCTCTCAAATAAATAAAATCTTAAAAAAAAAAAAAAAGATATATTTGAGAGACAAAGCTCCCTGCTTCTGGTTCAATCCCCATTTGTCTTCAGTGGGACAAGGCTGGGAGCTGAGAACGCAATCTGAGTCTCCCACATGAGTTCCGTATCCAGCACAGATACCATGGGATATTGGGCAAAATGCCTACCCCCCAAGTGTAATTTAAAAACAAACAAACAAACAAAACATTAAATCCAGGAAGAAAATAAGGTTGGTATGTTGATAGCAAGAGTTATAAAAGCATATCATATTTGTATATGGCTTTGAAAACAATTTTCTATTGTAATTATAATGACAACTGAATTATAATATTTCTTAAATATAAAAGGAAAATGACATGATTTTTGAAATACCTCTTGTAAATAATTTTGGAATGATCAAGTGGAACTATTAAGCGATTTGTTGTATTTCTGTCAGTTTGAAGAAAAATAATTCTGTTTTATATGTTTTTCTCTTTAAAATCTAACAATGTAGTATGTAGCCCTATATGTTCTTTTTGCTAATGTTTTGATTTTTGTGTTAGCAGCACGTCGCAATTATTTTGAACCAAAAAGTGCTTTAATGCCCAAATAATGGGAACTTTTAGGAGTATTAGGAGTAGAGACAGGAGCAGCTCCAGTAGAAAACAGCCTCAGGGCCGGCGCCATGGCTCACTTGGTTAATCCTCTGCCTGCGGCACTGGCATCCAATATGGGCGCTTGGTTCTAGTCCTGGTTGCTCCTCTTCCAGTCCAGCTCTCTGCTGTGGCCTGGGAGGGCAGTGGAAGATGGCCCAAGTGCTTAGGCCCCTGCACCCACGTAGGAGACCAGGAGGAAGCACCTGGCTCCTGGCTTCCGATCACTGTAGCGGCCATTTGGGGGGTGAACCAACGGACAGAAGACCTTTCTTTCTGTCTCTCTCTCTCACTGTCTAACTCTGTCAAATAAATAAATAAATAAAGCGTTATCTGATGTTCAGCTAATTGATAATTTTGACAGTTTTGGTGAAACTCAATTGGGAAATTGAGTTGGATGGAGAATCTTAGAGAGTAAGTAGTGGCAATTAAGTGATCCGTGTCAAGTTTACATTTAGTAACACCAAGCTGTAATCCTTGAAAACTTGAGGGGTACTCCCAACCTGAGACATGCTAGTTAAGAACTGATGTTCTCCATCAGTTTACTGTTTCTGTATTTTTTTTTTTTTAATCTCATTTCATACATATAGCCCTTATTAAAGAAGATATAAAGTAATGGCCTAAACAACAAGAATAATCATGAGTATGTTTTATAATCAAGTTGTGGGCCTACTCAGGAGGAGGGCCTGCCTCTAAGGTGAAATTTCATCCAACAGTTGACAGTTAATGCCTAAAAGAGTAACTGACAGCTGATCAGAAAGCTGTGAAATTCCTCAGTGTCAAAGAACTATACAAAACGTTATTGCACTACTCTGTGTTGTTACCTAATGTATTTTATGATAAGTTTTGAAAATGTAGTTAATTTTTCATTTGATTCATTTATCTCCTGTTCATCTCCTTTCCCCTAACCCCTTTCCTGCATTTTTAAGAAAGATTTTTAATTTGGATTGTGTGTGTGTTGTGTGTGTGTGTGTGTGTGTGTAAATATCTGTTAGGCTAAATATATTTAAACACGTAGCATGTGCAGTAATACGAAATCCTGAAAAGGTCTTAATCTCTTGATTGATTTTATTGCATTGGCAGAGTGAAGATAGTCCAAGTCCCAAGAGACAGCGCCTCTCTCATTCAGTCTTTGATTATACATCAGCATCACCAGCTCCCTCACCACCAATGCGACCATGGGAGATGACATCAAATAGGCAGCCCCCTTCAGTTCGACCAAGCCAACATCACTTCTCAGGGGAACGATGCAACACACCTGCACGCAACAGAAGAAGGTTAGTTGACTGCAACTTATTTCTTAAAATTTTCTTCCATTGATAGGTTTGTCAGTATTTCTTAACATCAGGAAACATTTTTCTGAAGGCATTTCATTAATACATCAACACATATGTATGCATACATTCACAAAAACATTTCAAGTTGTTTGGGTTCCCACACTAGGTCATAAGAGTTCATTTAGCTTGTAATTGACGTGTGAAGAAATTGAAAAGGGCTAACATGATTTACCTAGAATCAACTCATGCTATTATATATGAATTCAACTATCTTATGGTTTAAGACGTGCTAGCCTGAATACTTATTACTATTTTGTAGTTGATATCTGTAATGAAGCTAATGAAACATATATATCTTAGAAGTGAACTTTTTCTTTCTTTTTTTTTTTTTTAAGATTTATTAATTAATTTACTTGAGAGGCAGAGTAACAGACGGAAAGAGAGACATAGGGTGGTCACCTGCCAGCCAGGAAGAAGTCACCCTCCAGAAACCACAGTGCTGGAATCTTCATCTCAGATTTCTAGCTTCCAGAGCTTGGAGAAAATAAGTTTTTGTTTAAGCTGCTATATTAAGACTAATACAGAAGAGATCTTAAAATACCATTTTGTGTTCCATATAAGACAAAATAAATCTCTGAACTATTTAGTGGAGACATTTTATTGCTATTGCTATCAAATATAATTAAGAATGAGGAAATAATGGTTGGGTTTTTTTTTTTTCTTTTTAATTTTTTGGTTGTTTCACAGTGATAGCCTGAGTACTGCTCTAGTTTTTCCATTTTATGGTGAACTCTGTCCTGCATTCAGAAGAATTTGTGAAATAAATGTATAATTAAAAGAATAAGAAACACATGCCCAACTCCTAGGTTAAAACAGAACACATTGATCCCTCAAGAGCCCCCCGGGGGGCAGACATTTGGCTTAATGGTTGACTCCCACATCCATGTGAAAGTACTTGGGTCTCAGCCCTGCTCCTGATTTCAGTTTTCAGTTGGTGAAGGCCTTGGAAGGCAGCAGGTGACGCCTCAAGTGGCTGAGGTCCCTGCCAATCATGTGAGAGACCTGGATGGGGTTTCTATCTCCTGGCTATGGCCTCGCCCAGTCCTGACTGTTGTGGGTATCTGGGGAGTGCACCAGCACTCCATGTCTTTCTGCTTTCTGAATTAATTTTTTTTTATTAAAGACATTTATTTATTTGAAAGGCAGAGTCACAGAGAAGCAGAGGCAGAGAGAAAAAGGTCTTCCATCCACTGATTCACTCCCCATATGGCTGCAACGGCTGGAGCTGCACCGATCTGAAGCCAGTAGCCAGAGGTTCTTCCGGGTCTCTCACATGGGTGCAGTGGCCCAAGGACTTGGGCCATATTCTGCTGCTTTCCTGGGCCATAGCAGAGAGCTGGATCGGAAGTGGAGCAAGTGGAAGTGGGCAGTGGAAGCTGGCCCAAGTACTTGGACTCCTTCCACCCATGTCAGAGGCCAGGGTAGAGTTCCTGGGTCCTGAATTTAACCTGGCCCAGCCTTGGTTGTTGTAGCCCTTTGGGGAGTGAATCAGCAAATGAAAGATTGATCCCCCCTCACATCTTTGTTGTGATTTTCAAATCAGTAAATACATATTTAAAAAATAAAATTGTTGGAGAACTCTTGAGAAGGTGCAGGTTGTTTGCATCATCTCAAGTCCACTCCCACATATTTGGTAATTACAAAAGGAAGGATAATAGTTTTGTAGTGGTGGGTCCTGGCAGAGATTGCTTTAACCCCAAGATTAGTTTTTTAAAAAATTGGGGCTGGCGCTGTGGCATAGTGGGCTAATAAGCCTCCACTTGCAGCGCTGGCATCCCATATGGGCGCCAGTACATATCCTGGCTGCTTCTCCTCCTCTTCTTTTTTTTAATTAATTTATTTATTCGAAAGTCAGAGTTACACACAGAGAAAAGGAGAGGTGGTGGTGGGGTCTCTCCCATCTGATGGTTTACTCCCCAACTGGCCACAACGCCTGGAGCTGCACCAATCCGAAGCCAGTAGCCAGGAGCTTCTTCCGGGTCTCCCACACGGGTGCAGTGGCCCAAGGACTTGGGCCATATTCTGCTGCTTTCCCAGGCCATAGCAGAGAGCTGGATGGAAGTGGAGCAGCTGGGACTTGAACCGTCGTCCATATGGGATGTTGGCACTGCAGGCGGTGGCTTTACCCACTACGCCACAGCGCCGGCCCTTGCTCCTCTTCTGATCCAGCTCTCTGCTATGGCCTAGAAAAACAGTGGAAGATGGCTCAAGTGCTTGGGCCCCTCCATCCACATGGGAGACCTGGAAGAAGCTTCTGGCTCCTGACTTCAGATTGGCCCAGCTCCAGCCCTTGCGGCCATTTGGAGAATTAACCAGCAGATGGAAGACCTCTCTCTCTCTCTCTCTCTCTCTCTCTCCCTCTCTCTCTGTAACTCTGCCTCTCAAAGAAACAAATATTTTTTTAAAAAATTAATTAATTTGTTTAAAAGGCAGAATAGCAGAGATATTTTCCATCCTTTCACTCTCCAAATGCCTACATCAGCTGGGGCTGAAGCTAGGAGCCAGGAACACCTTTTGGGTTTCCTACATGGATAACTGGAACTGGAGTACTTGGGCCGTCAACCACTGCCTTCCCAGGTGTATTAACAGGAAGCTGAATTGGGAGCAGAGGAGCCAGGATTCTTAACTGGCACTCTGATTTGAGATGCAGACATCCCAAGCCCTGGCCCATCCCAAATGATCAAAGTTAATATCATAGTGATGTCTGTCCATATTGTGTACCGCTTCATATGTCGTGCTAAAAATGACCCATCACCTCTCTGATATCCTTGCCAATAATGTATGACTTCAGACAGATTATGAGAAAACAGATAAACTCAGGATGAAGGGTATTCTGCAGAGTGAATGACTAATGTCTTCAGAGTTGTCAAGATCATGAAAGTCAAGTAAAGGCTCAAACTTTGTCATAAATATGTAATAGAGTACTGCCTTGGGTTCTAAAACAGTGAAGTGACAGTGGTAGAATAACTGGTAAAGTCTAAAGACATTTCATAGTTTAATAGTATTATATCAAAAGTTATTTATTTGGGGGGATTTATTTATTTATTAGTCATAGAGGAAGAGACAGAGAGAAAGATCTTCCATCACTCTCCAGATGGCTGCCATGACCTGGTCTGGGCCAGGCCAAAGAAAGCCAAGAGCCAGGAGCTTCATCTGTGTCTCTTAGGTGGGTGACAGGGACCTAAGGATTTGGGACATCTTCACTGCTTTTCACAGGGCATTAGCAAGGAGCTGGATCAGAAGTGGAGCAGCTAAGACACGAATTGGCACCCATATGGGGTGCAGCTGGCAAATATACCTGCTATACACTACTATGCCAGCCCCTCAAAATGTTTTTCTTAATTTTGATAATTGTTCTGTTATGGAAAATAATAAGTGGAAGAAGCTGGAACTATGCTGGAATTATTTCACAGTAAAAAGTTTTCAAGGTGATGAATGAAATACAATATGCAGATTTTGAAGCAGAAGTGCGAAAAGAATTATACTAAAAATAAAGAGGGAGAAAGACTTAATGGAGCAAGAACTTGAGGGATGGTATCAGGAAAACTACTTTGTGCCTCTTATTTTCTTGAGAGTGGAGTTTGGAGTGGAAAGAAACAGTTGTAGAGGTGCAGAATTAAGATTGAAAAAGAGGTGACCTGTCTCAGAAGTTGCTAAGATGGCGTTCACAGCTGTGCCTACAAGGATGTTTGGCCTTCTTTGTCCAATGGGGAGTGCATTCTAATGAGGTCTCCTGCTTTTTCAAATTGCTTTTGTGCTGAATCATTGTTAAAAGCAGTGGAGGTGAATTGTGGAAGTGTAGAGAAGTAGAAAATGACAGTTAAACGACAGTAACAAAATTTTTGTTAAATTATATAGAGACTAGTGCAGAATAAAAATGGTTTGCTTCAGTAAGCACCTTTTGGCTAAGAATTCTGTTTGTTCACTCCCTAAATGCTGCAACTGCTGAGGCTGGGCTAGGCTGAAGCCAGGAGCCAGAAACTCAATCCACGTCTCCCATAAGGGTGGCAGGGATCCAACTACTTGCATCCCCTGATGCTTCCAGGATCTGTATCAGCAGAAGTTGGAATCAGGAATGAAGCCTGGACTTGAACCCCGGGCACTCTGGTATGGGAAGCAGGCATCATCAGCAACATCTTAACAGACATCCAGCCCCATAATATGCATTTTCTGTGAAGTTTTAGAAAACTGCTTATTTTTATTTATTTTTTAAAAGATTAATTTATTTATTTGAAAGGCAGAGTTAGAAAAAGAGAGATGAGAGAGAGCGAGATCTTCCATCTGCTGGTTCACTCCCGAAATGGCTACAGCGACCCTATAGGGCTGGGCCAGGCCAAAGTCAGGAGCCAGGAGCTATTATTGGGTCTCTCATGTAGGTACAGGGGCCCAGGCACTTGGGCCTGCCTTCCCTGCTTTGCCAGGCACATTAGGAGGGAGCTGGATCAGAAGTGGAGCAGATGAGACTTGAACCAGTACCCATACGGGATGCCAGAGCTGCAGGCCATGGCTTAACCCACTGCACTGTAGCACCAGCCCCTATTTTTATTTATTTTGAAAAGGTGAAGTGTCAAGGAGAGAGAGAGGGATTGATCTTCCATCTTTTGGTTCACTCCCAAAATGCCTGCCACAAGCCAGGGCTGGAGCAGGACAAAGCCAGGAATGTCAACATTTACTGCAATTGGTGTTATATTTGTAGCTAGCAAATTATGTTTGTTGGTTGTTTCATTTGTTTTCTATTCTAATTAAATATATGTATATGAGAGGCAGAGACAGATAAAGAACTCTCATCTACTGGCTTACTCCCCAAATACCCACAATGGCCAGAGCTGGGTTGAGGCTGAAAACCCCTCAGTTCAGGTCTCCCATGTCAGTGATAGGAACCCAATTACTTGAGCCATCACTGTTCCAGGGTCTGGATTAGCAGGAAGCTAGAGTCGGGCATTGATGCCAGATACTCCAAAATGGGGCACAGGCCTTTTACCCATACCCGTATGGGATGCTGGGCCAAATATCTGCCCATATTTTTGGTTTTTATTTATTTTAAAATGTTTATTTTCATCCTATTGAAAGAATACATGCAAGAGATCTTCCTTCTGCTAATTAACTCCCCAAATGCCCCCAATAGCTAGGAGCCAAGATCTCCATTCAGGACTTGCATGTGGGTGGCAGGGCCCCAAGCACTTGAGCCAGCATCTGCTACCTTTCAGGATGAATTAGAAGGAAGCTGTATTGGGCCGGCACCTGCATGGGAGACCAGGAGGGAGCACCTGGCTCCTGGCTTCGGATCGGTGCAGCAAGCTGGCTGTAGCGGCCACTTGGGGTTGAACCAATGGAAAAAGGAAGACCTCTCCCTCTCTCTCTCTCTCTCTCTCACTCACTCACTCTCTCACTCTCTCACTCTCTCACTCTCACTCTCTCTCACTGTCTAACTCTACTTGTCAAAAAAAAAAAAAAAAAAGAAGCTGTATCAGAAGCTGAGAAACTGGGGAATTGATCTGTCACTCTTTGATAAGGGGATGCAGGCATCCTAAGTACGGCCTAATGCACTGCCCTGTGCACACAGTGCCTGCCTTGTTTAATTTAAGTGGGCATATAAGAATTGTGTCTTCTGTTTGCTTTAGCCAAATATATAAACACCAAGTGCCTGTTATGTATATGAAGAATACTGACAAGATTTATGTATAAAGTTTACTATGTTCATAAAGGTTGAGGAGAAAAAGAATAGATCAAATGATATGAAATTGCTGAGACTTGACTTCTTTTTTAACTTGCAAACAGGATGATTTCATATTAAAAAAGCAGACTGTGGTTAGCTGTTCATTTTTTAAGTACTTTCAAAGCTAAATACCAATTTTTTTCTGTTATTTTGTATGTATTGATATCATGCTTAAATTTTTTAACATTGACTTATTTATTTATTTATTTGAAAGAGTTTGAGAGAGAACGATATCTTCCATCTGCTAGTTCATTCCCCCAAAGGCCGTGACAGCCAGAGAGGGGGTAAGCCAGGCTGAAGCTAGGAGCTTCTTCTGGGTCTTTAACATGGGTGCAGATGTCCAAAGATCTGGGCCATCTTTGGCTGCTTTCCCAGGTGCATTAACAGGGAGTTGGATTGAGAGGGGAGTAATAGGACTGGAATCGGCACCCGTATGGGATGCTGGCAGCAGCCTTAGCTGCTACACCACAGTACAGGTCCCACCTTTTTTTAGAGCTGATGGGAAACCATGGTAGTTACTGAGCAGTTAGACTTACCTTACCCTACATTATTGATGGATAGCAAAGAAAATAATACACAATCCTGGTGGAGCACAGTGATAAATATTGTAGTAACAACCTGCTTTTTGACATTTGCTGTATTACAGTCCTCCTGTCAGGCGCCAGAGAGGAAGAAGAGATCGCCTATCTCGACATAATTCCATTAGTCAAGATGAAAACTATCACCATCTCCCTTATGCACAGCAGCAAGCAATAGAGGAACCTCGAGCCTTCCACCCTCCGAATGTATCTCCCCGTCTGTTACATCCTGCCGCTCATCCACCCCAACAGAATGCAGTAATGGTTGATATACATGATCAGGTACAGTAACAGAATATCCTGGAAATACAGAAGGTAAAAGAGGTTGAGATAACTTACTGAAGTTGGTTCTTTACTGTGTATTTCTTTTCATTTGACCTAAAATGCAGCTATTTTAGTTAAGTTCCCCTTATTCCTTATAAGAATCGAAACAAATTACACACAGCTTCAGAGAAGACTGTTGAAGTGAAAATAATTAGGATCAGGGTTAGGAAAACAAATGGTTTTATGTCATAGTTGTTTAGAAATTAGTGATTTAAGATTAATATGGCACCGGCACACCAGGTTCTAGTCCCGGTTGGGGCGCCGAATTCTGTCCCGGTTGCCCCTCTTCCAGGCCAGCTCTTTGCTGTGGCCAGGGAGTGCAGTGGAGGATGGTCCAAGTGCTTGGGCCCTGCACCCGCATAGGAGACCAGGAGAAGCACCTGGCTCCTGCCATCAGATCAGTGCCGTGCGCCTGCCACGGCGGCCATTGGAGGGTGAACCAACGGCAAAGGAAGACCTTTCTCTCTGTCTCTCTCCCTCTCTCACTGTCCACTCTGCCTGTCAAAAAAATAAATAAATAAATAAATAAATATCAGACAGCTGGTGGTTTGAGTACATTAGCCTATCTCTGTTTCCTTTCCTGTTTACTCTGGGATAGTTCAGTAAGCAAGACAGTTGGGTGCATGTTTGCTTACAGGTTTCTACACTTCCAAGGAAATAATGGAAATCTCCAGAACTAGGTGACTAGCTGAACAGAGAAGTTGCCTGTCATCAGAGCCTGCAGTGAAGACAAAAATTTGTGATTTTCTGTGGAGTTTGAGGTCAAGAGAGATGCATATCTAAATATGTCCCCATAATGTGGCTAGATGTTCAGGATTTAATTAAAAAAATAAAACTTGCACATTTATAGACACGAGAAATTAAAAAGGAAAGCTAACCAGATGTTTTAAAAAATTTTATTTGAAATTTTTAAAAGATTTATTTATTTGAGAGGTAGAGTTACAGACAATGAAAGGGAGAGACAGAAAGAAAGGTCTTCCATCTGTCTGCTGGTCCACTCCCCAGATGGCCACGATGGACAGAGCTGAGCTGATCTGAAGCCAGGAGCCAAGAGCTTCTTCTGGGTCTCCATGTGGGTTCAGGAGCTCAAGTGCATGGGCCACCTTCCACTGCTTACCCAGGCCATTCAGAGAGCTTGATTGGAAGAACAGCCGGGACTAGAACCAGTACCCATATGGGATGCCTGCACGGCAGGCGGAAGATTAACGTGCTGCACCAAAGCACCAGCCCCTGAATTTTTTTTTAAGATTTATTTATTTGAAAGGCAGAGTCATAGAGAAAGGGAAATTCAGAGAGAGAACTTCTATCCTCTGGTTCACTCTCAAGAGCTAAGCTGGTCTGAAGCCAGGAAGAACCAGAAACCAGGAACATCTTCCAGGTCTCCCATGTGGGTGCAGGAACCCAGGGACTTGGGCCATACTCCACTGCTTTTCCAGGCACATTTAGCAGTGAGCTGGATCAGCAGTGGAACAGCTGGAGCTTGAACTGGTGCCCATATGGGATGCCAGTGCTGCAGGCAGTGGCTTTACCCTCCATGCCACAGCACTGGCCCCTTGAACGGCAGAGTGACAGAGATAAAGAGATCTTCCATCTTCCTTTCTCAGGCAGAGTGCACAGAGAGAAATGTCTTCCTTTGCCGTTGGTTCACCCCACAATGGCCGCTGTGGCTGGTGCGCTGTGCTGATCCAAAGCCAGGAGCCAGGTGCTTCTCCTGGTCTCCCATGTGGGTGCAGGGCCCAAGCAATTGGGCCATCCTCCACCGCACTCCCAGGCCACAGCAGAGAGCTGGACTGGAAGAGGAGCAACTGGGACAGAATCCGGCGCCCCTGCCAGGACTAGAACCTGGTGTGCTGGTGCCACAGGCGGAGGATTAGCCTGTTGAGCTGCAGCGCCAGCCAGAAATTTCTTCAATTGTAAAAAGGGCTAAAATAAGCATCTCCGTGATGAGCAATGTTGAAAATTAAGGATTCATTTTATCTCATAAGTAGTAAAAGCTCAAATATTAACTTAACTGTTATAATGATAATTCCATATAAAACTCTTAGAGGGGGATTAAAAGAAAACTGAAGTTCTGCAAATGATCTAAATAAAATACAAATAATAATGAAGTACAGAGATTAACCATTGAAAAAGTACTACATTTGGGTGACCTCACAACTATTTTTAATTATTTATTTGAAAGAGTTACGGGGAAGGAGAGAGAGAGAGAGAGAGAGAGAATGAATGAATCTTCATCTGCTGATTCATTCCAGAGAGAGATTTCCATCTTTTGATTCATTCCCCAAATGGCCATGATGGTTGGGATTGGACCAGGCTGAAGCTAGGATCCAGGAGCTCCATCTGGGTCTCCCACATGTATGCAGAATCCAAGAACTTAGACCATTTTCTGCTGCTTTCCCCGGAACATTGGCAGGGAGCTGGATGAGAAGCAGAGCAGACAAGGCCAGTGCTGCAATATGAAATCTGGCATACCACAACGCCAGCCAGCCCTACTGGTTTGTTTTTTTCTCTAATAATGTAAGGAACAGTGATTTTAATAATACACAAGTGATTCCAGGCTTTTATAAAAAGGCAAGTTCTGTATTTTTTTATGTTAGTATATATATATTTTTTTTTATTTTTTTTATTTTTTTATTTTATTTTATTTTTTTTGACAGGCAGAGTGGACAGTGAGAGAGAGAGACAGAGAGAAAGGTCTTCCTTTTTCCTTTTTTCCGTTGGTTCACCCCCCAATGGCGTACCGCGCTGATTCGAAGCCAGGAGCCAGGTGCTTCTCCTGGTCTCCCATGGGGTGCAGGGCCCAAACACTTGGGCCATCCTCCACTGCACTCCCTGGCCACAGCAGAGAGCTGGCCTGGAAGAGGGGCAACCGGGACAGAATCCGGTGCCCCGACCGGGACTAGAACCCCGTGTGCTGGTGCTGCAAGGTAGAGGATTAGCCTAGTGAGCCACGGCGCTGGCTATGTTAGTGTAATTTAATAACAAAGCAAATGAAGGTAATAATCTCCATAAAAACTTTAGGAAAAATCTTGCACACATAGAATTTCTAAATGTAGGCATTTGACCTAGCAGTTAAGATAGTGCTTGGGATACTCAGTCCTGATTCTGCCCCCGATTGCAGTTTCCTGCTGGTATGCTCCCTGAGAGGCAGTGGTAATGGCTTATATTTGAGTCCCTGCCATATGGGAGCCCTGGATTGAGTTTCTGGCTCCTGGCTTCAGCCGCCCCCAGACTTGGCTATTTTGGGCATTTAGGGAATGAACCACTAGATGAGAGATGTGTTTCTCTCTGTCTTTCAAATTATTGATCAGAATTTCTAAGTAAATATTTAGAAAACACAATTTAGGCCGGTGCGTGGCTCAATAGGCTAATCCTCCGCCTGTGGTGCCGGCACACTGGGTTCTAGTCCCGGTCGGGATGCCGGATTCTGTCCTGGTTGCCCCTCTTCCAGTCCAGGTCTCTGCTGTGGCCCGGGAGTACAGTGGAGGATGGCCCAAGTGCTTGGGCCCTGCACCCACATGGGAGACTAGAAGCACCTGGCTCCTGGCTTTGGATCAGCACGGTGCACCGGCCATTGTGGAGTGAACCAACAGAAAGGAAGACCTTTCTCTCTGTCTGTCTCTCTCTCACTGTCTAACTCTGCCTGTCAAAAAAAAAAAAAAAAAAAAAGAAAGAAAGAAAGAAAGAAAGAAAACGCATTTTAGCAGTGTGTGAATAGAACAATACCCTATGTTCAAATACTGTGTATTCCAAGAGTTTACTGTATAAACTTTCATATTGCATCAAGAAATAGTAGAAAAATCATATGACATTTAAATCAGTACTTGGTGAAAAGGCAGGTAAGAAAGAAATTATTTAAAACTAACAGCAGATACCTTAATCAATTATATCAAAATCAGCAACTAGAAAGATGCTGCTCTGTCCATTTTTATTTAATATTGTTTTAGAAGTTTTACTAAGTACAATAAAATAATGTAGTGGAATTAAAATATTGAAAGAAATAATTGTATATTTCACCTTTACATGAGTAAGAAAAACAAAGTGGAGGGAAGTATATACCAAGTTTCATTTTATACAGCATTATAATTAAATATGTATAACAGAAAAATACATGGAAATATATACCAGGCTTGGGGTGGCTGCTCAGGTGAATGATAGGATGGTAGCAGTCAGAGAAGGAGCCAAAGAAAGAAAAGCAAAAGGCTGAACTTCAGAAAAGGTGAGGGCTCGTTTATGTGATGTGGGATATCGGGTCTCCATATTGGGAAATGAATAGACTACAGTAAATAACCATACCATACAGTTCAAGCAGAAAACCTGAACAGACCAACAGCCATGGCAGAAATTGATCTGGCCTTTAAAGAACTAGTAATTCCTATTTAAACTATTCTAATTCCACATCATAGAAAGGTAGGAAATTTCCTAGTATATTTGATAAAGCTAACATTACCGTAGTAATAAAACATAAAATCTAATAACAACTAGTTTCCCTCTTGAATACACTTGTGATTTTTAAATAATCATCTGGCCTGGGGCCGGCGCTGTGGCGTAGCAGGTGAAGCCGCCAACTGCAGTGCTGCATCCCATTTGGCACCAATTCGAGTCCCGGCTTCTGCACTTCCGATCCAGCTCTCTGCTGTGGCCTGAGAAGGCAGAAGATTGCCCAAGTCCTTGGGCCCCTGCACCCACGTGGGAGATCCAGAGGAAGCTCCCGGTGCCTAGCTTTGAATCGGCGCAGCTCTGGCCATTGCAGCCAACTGGGGAGTGAACTAGCAGATGGAAGACCTGTCTCTGCCTCTCCTTCTCTCTCTGTGTAACTCTGACTTTCAAGTAAATAAATAAATCTTTAAAAATAAAAAAAAATAGGGCCAGCGCCGTGACTCAATAGGCTAATCCTCCGCCTTGCGGCGCTGGCACACCAGGTTCTAGTCCTGGTCAGGGCGCCGGATTCTGTCCCAGTTGCCCCTCTTCCAGGCCAGCTCTCTGCTGTGGCCCAGGAGTGCAGTGGAGGATGGCCCAAGTGCTTGGGCCCTGCACCCCATGGGAGACCAGGATAAGCACCTGGCTCCTGCCTTCGGATCAGCGCGGTGCACCGGCCACAGCGCGCCAGCCATGGCGGCCATTGGAGGGTGAACCAACGGCAAAAGGAAGACCTTTCTCTCTGTCTCTCTCTCTCACTGTCCGCTCTGCCTGTCAAAAAAATAAAATAAAAAATAAAAAAATAAAAACACCACACTTACTACTTAAAAAAAAAAATCTGGCCATGGGTGTAGCACAGCAGGTTAAGCTGCTGCCTGCAATGCTGGCATCCAATAGGAATCTGGGTTAGTTTCAACTGCTTCACTTCTAGTCCAGCTCCCTGCAGATGTGCCTAGGGAAAGCAGCTGAAGATGGCCCAAATACTTGGGCTCCTGCCACTCACATGGGAGACCCAAGTGGGATTCCAGGCGGCTGACTGGCTCAGCTATGGCCACTGTTGCCATTTAGGGAGTGAACTAGCAGGTGGAATGTATGTCCCTTCTAGACAGATCTACTAGATCTAAGGTAGATAAATACAAATTGATATCTCAGTATCAACAGTGATTTGACGTATAAATAGAAAAAAATAACCTATTGACAATATAACAAGATCTACAACCTTATAAAGGAACTTTGAGGAATAAATTTGGTAAGAATAATATATTTTCATAAAGAAAACTGCTTTTTTTGACAGGCAGTTAGAGAGAGAGAGAGACAGAGAGAAAAGTCTTCTTCCATTGGTTCATCCCCCAAATGGCTGCCACGGCCAGTGCGCTGTGCCGGTCCAAAGCCAGGAGCATCCTCCTGGTCTCCCATGCGGGTGCAGGGCCCAAGCACTTAGGCCATCCTCCACTGCCTTCCTGGGCCACAGCAGAGAGCTGGACTGGAAGCAGGAGCAAGCGGGACTAGAACCCCAGGTACTGGTGCCACAGGTGGAGGATTAGCCAAGTGAGCCATGGTGCCGGCCAAGGCAACTGATTTCTTGAAGGACAGGATTGTAATCTTGAACATAGTGGCATAATGTTCCTGGATTAAAATGCTTAATGTAAAATTAAGTTCATTGTGAAATAACAAAATTTAATAGAATTATAATGTATTTTTGGATAAAATTATTTGACTTATATACAAGAATAAATGTTAAAATGCCACCCTCCCCCAAGAAAAAAGAAAAGTAACTATGATGTATGAGAATAATAATTGTTCTAGTAAGGTACTGTCATCAGAACAACATGAAATTGGTAAGAAATAAGCCCAGGAATATGTGGTTACTTACCGAAGGTAAAATAGAGATGGTGCTTCAGTTTAGAGGAAACGGGGTGGTTTAATAAATGGAATAGGGTCTGTTATCCATGTGCAAGAAAAATTCAAGTCTTGTTTCACACTGTAAACAGATTCACTGGAATTTGAATTTATATGTAAAAAGTAAAATTTTTATAAAAGTTAGGAGCACATTTGTATAACCTCATCAATACAAGCTCTAATGCTACACTTTGACGGCATTTTAAAATGTAGGATTATGAAAGACAAAAATATATCATTAAATAAAAGGTTTAAAAAGGGCTGGTATTGTGGCATAGCAAGTAAAGCCACCACCTGCCATGCAGGCATCCCATATAGGTGCCCATTCATATCCTGTCTTTTTCCACTTCGATCCTCCTAATATTGGTCTGGGAAAACTGCAGAGGATGGCCCAAGTGTTTGGGCTGCTGTACCCATGTGGGAGATATGGAGGGTGTTTCTGGCTCCTGGCTTTGGCTTGGCCCAGCCCTAGCTATTGTGGCCATTTGGGGAGTGAAGCAGTGGATGGAAAGTCTCTCTCGATATATCTCTCTCTGTAACTCTGACTTTCAAATAAGCAGATGTTCATAAAAAATAAAAAGGTTTAAGAAGATAAAACATGGACTGGGAAAATATTTTTTTTAAAAGATTTGTTTATTTGAAAGGCAGAGAGAGGGAGGTGTCTTCCATCTACCAGTTCACTCCCCAAATTGGACCTGGGCTGCTGATCTGGAACCAGGCGACCTCCGGGTCTCCCATGCAGGTGCAGGGGCCCATGAACTTGGGCCATCTTCCACTGCTCTGCCAGGCCATAATGGAGTGTTGGATTAGAAGTGGAGCAGCAAGGACTCGAACTGGTGTCAACATGGGATGCTGGCAGTGCAGGCGGCAGCTTTACCCACTACGCCACAGTGCTGGCTCCAAGGGAAAATAACTTTGTTACACATGACAAGCAAAAGATTCATCTCTAAATTTGAAGGTACAGCTGGTTATGACTTCCTAGAAAAAAAGATCAGTGAGCAAAAGATTATTTACAGAAAAAGCATCTAAATGGTTAATAAACGTGTTGAAAATAATTGACCTTGGAGCCAGCACTGTGGCACAGTGGGTTAAACTGTTGCCTGCGGCACCAGAATCCCATATGAGCACTGGTTTGAGTCCCAGCTGCTCCACTTCTGATCCAGCTCCCTGCTAATGTGCCTGGGAAAGCAGCGGAGGATGACTTGAGTGGTTGGGCCCTGTACCCTCTTGGAAATTCTGGATGAAGCTCCTGGCTCCTGCCTTGGCCTGGCCCAGCCCTGGGAATTGTGGCCATCTGGGGAGTGAACCAGTGGATGGGAGATCTCTCTGTGTCTTCCTCTAATTCACCTTTATATAAAATAATATATATATTTTCAAATTGATCCCTGTAATCAGAGAAATGCAAATTCAAAGCAAATAGGCCAATACTTTTTTTTTTCTCTTCAGATAGGTAAGCATAGTTGTAATGCAAATAAATCTGGGTTGAGTAGAGATGCTGGGAAATAGGCCTTCTTTCTGGGTCACAGCTGCGAGTGTGACTTACATCCAGCCTTCTCCAGGTGATTGGTAGTATTTGTTAAAAACAAAACCCTTAAAATACATTAACCCCTTTACTCAGTAATCCCTCTGAAATAATAACAATTAATATTGAGATTATTCAGTAATATTTTTCTCTCTCTCTCTCTCTTTTTTTTTTTTTTTTTTTTTTTTTTTTTTTTTTTTTTGACAGGCAGAGTGGACAGTGAAAGAGAGACAGAAAGGTCTTCCTTTTCCATTGGTTCACTCCCCAATGGCCATTGCGGCCGGCGCACTGCGCTGATCCGAAGCCAGGAGCCAGGTGCTTCTCCTGGTCTCCCATGTGGGTGCAGGGCCCAAGGACCTGGGCTATCCTCCACTGCACTCCCGGGTATTCAGTAATATTTTAAACAAAGGATTATACTACTTTGTATTGCTTCATTAATTGGAATTAAACAGTGTTTGTTGTTGAATGTGACCAAGTATTAACAGATGCGAGCTGTCATTTTTCCCAAAGTTTGATCTTGAGGAAAGTTTCTTTCCTACTGTATAAGATAGACTTGAAGAATTAATATAGCAATCTTTTATTCTTTTGGGCTTTTTGAGTTTAAGGGAAGAGTTTGTTTAGTTCTAGTTCTGTAGAATCATACACATTCTTGAAATAGCTTTCCTCTTCAAAGAAAACAAATGTCCTGTCAAAACTGTTGAAGATTGTGAAAATCGGTACACCTGAGAGACGGGAAAGCACTGAATGCCCAGTGTTAATTTTTAATAGTTAACATTTTATCCAATATTTTTCTTTCCTAATAGCTCCATCAAGGAACCGTCCCTGTTTCCTATACAGTAACAACAGTGGCACCACACGGAATTCCCCTCTGCACAGGCCAGCACATCCCTGCTTGCAGTACGCAACAGGTCCCAGGATGCTCTGTGGTTTTCAGTGGACAGCACCTCCCTGTCTGTAGTGTGCCTCCTCCAGTAAGTCTGTGCCTTTGTTACCGTTAGATCCTCCTTACTAAGCACACCAGCCTGGATTTGGTTTTGTTATCTGATTTAGAAAACCTTTAGGATGGCTAAGTGAACTATATGAGCAAATAGATTCATTGTAGCTTTATTTCCAAGTATAAAGGGCAGTTTTATTGCAAACACATCATTATAGTACATTAGCTTTAAAACTTGATATATTTTTACATTAATTATCATATTTGAATACCCTGAGGGTCAAACTACGCTTCCTCATTTATCAACACTCTTTATAATTAAAGCTCGTTAAGGGTTGGCCTCGATCTGAGAGTATAATTAATGGTCAACAGCAGTAGTGTCGGCACTGACTGGGTCTCCTCCGTAGGCACTCACTGTGGTAGACCTGTGATGAAAATAATGACATCTCTGAAAATTTAAATGACCTGCTTAATGTTGTAGAGATAGTCATCGTGGGAGGGCAGAGACTCACCTTTCTGCTTCGTACTTATGCCCTATCTGTCAATCTGCCACCCTTCCACCCTGCTTATCTCACAAATGAAGGCATGGAAATATAGAGGACTTAAATAAGATCAGTGGAAAGCGCTTGACAGGATCTGTCTAAATAGAATACCCTGGCCTGAATGTGCGGTTAAAACATACATACATAAACCAGTGCAAACTTACACATTCATGTGCCTAATCTTGGTTTCTCAGTAATAGAACCATTGTGCTGAATTTCCCAGTGAAATGCTGGAAACTGTAAAACAGTTGTGAGTTGTACTATAGATCGAAAAGGACAGTTTCTTAGAATAACAGTAGCATCCAATACTTTACTAGCAGATATAAAATATATTAGTATTTCATTGCTTATATAAGCTGCTGAAAACTTTTTTTGTGTAATTTTGGGGGTGCTTTGGCAGTGACTTCAATCTCACTATCATTTTAAAAAATAAATTACATATTCCAATGTTTTTAACCAAAAAAATAATGATTTCTCTTACAGATGCTTCAGGCATGTTCAGTTCAGCACTTACCAGTACCATATGCTGCGTTCCCACCCCTTATTTCTAGTGATCCATTTCTTATACATCCTCCTCACCTTTCTCCCCATCATCCTCCTCATTTGCCACCACCAGGCCAGTTTGTCCCCTTCCAGACACAGCAGTCACGATCGGTAGGTATCTCTATTCTTACCTAACTCCCAAAATGTTTAAACCAGGCAGATATTTAGTAACTGTGAGTTATTGCATTTAAACACTATAAGGTGGGCATTCTTATGGTTCTTAAAGAGGTAAAGGAATCCACAGACATATAAACTAGTGTACATACCTATACCTTGGATTAATTTGGTTTCTTAACTTTTTCTAGCTATTGTAAAGTCACTTGACTAATTGAAAACCTTCATCTGCAGTCCTTCAAGCAGTAAATTTGAAGATTCTTACTGTACTTTTTTTTTTTTTAAGATGTATTTATTTGAAAGAGTTACGCAGAAAGAGAAAGAGAGGTCTTCCATCCTCTGGTTCACTCCCCAATTGGCCACAACGGCTGGAGCTGTGCTGATCTGAAGCCAGGAGCCAGGTGCTTCCTCCTGGTCTCCCACATGGGTGCAGGGGCCCCAGGACATGGGCCATCTTCCACTGCTTTCCCAGGCCAGAGCAGAGAGCTGGATTGGAAGTGGAGCAGCCGGGACTCGAACTGGCGCCCATATGAGATGCTGGCACTACAGGCGGCGACCTTACCTGCTATGCCACAGCCCCTCCCCCGCCTTTTTTAAAGCTTTATTTATTTATTTGAAAGTCAGAGTTACATAGAGAGAGGAGAGAGACAGAGAGAGAGAGGTCTTCCATCTGCTGGTTCACTCCTCAACTGGCCAGAACTGCGCTTACCTGAAGCCAGGAGCCTCCTCCGGATCTCCCACATGGGTACAGGGGCCCAAGGACTTGGGCCATCTTCTGCTGCTTTCACAGGCCGTAGCAGAGACCTGGATTGGAAGTGGAACACCTGGGACTTGAACCAGCACATACATTGGATGCCGGCACTGCGGGTGGCGGCTTTACCCCCTATGCCACAGTGCCAGCCCCTTCATGTAGTTCTAACCTGGAAAATGAAAACATGATAAAGTTGCTTGTAGTCAATAGATTATTTATATGCATTTGGCAAGCAATTTAACTTCTGAGCCTCTATTCTTTGTGAAGTCCTATTTTTCTGCTATGTTCTGATGAAAGCAGAGGAGGTAGGCTGTTAAGGTAGTTAATTCTGTTCTGAGGCTGGAATACAACTGAGATGCATATTATTTTGAGGGTTGGGGAGTAAGATTCATGTCGAGCTGTTCTCCGTAGCTTCTCATATCTGTAATTTGGAGTTATTTAAAAGGTTCGGTTTCATAGTCAGTCAGGACTTAGGTTTAATGGTGTCACAGTGTCAGCAGTAGTGATTTCTTTCAAGCATGAGTAAAGTTTCAAATTACAATGTTAGTATTTGTATTAGAATAATGTGTTGCTATTCTGTAACTGAGGAAGTCAGGCCAACATTTGAAAATGCATGTGCTCAAAATAATTGAAGACATCTGGTGGCTGGCATTTGAGTGCTGGTTCAAATCCCTACTGCTCCTCTTCTGATCCAGCTCTCTGATAATGAGCCTGGGAAAGCAGCGGAAGATGGCCCATGGACTTGGGCCTTGGCCAAAACCTGGATGGAGTTCTCGGCTCCTGGCTTCAGCCTCTCCCACCCATGGCTGTTGTGGTCATTTGGATAGTAAACCAGTGGATGGAAGATCTGTCTGTCTCTCCTCTCTGCCTTTCAAATTAAAACAAAACAAAACAAAACAAAACAAAACCACCATATCAACACAAAAGTAATTACCCAAATGTTTATGGCAACATCATTGCTAATAATCCAAGTGGAAACCGTTTAGATGTCCATTAGCTGGTAAGTGGATGAGCACAGAGTGGTCTGTTCATACAATTAAATATTAGTTAATCAAATCTGTATGATGGATGGACTTTGAAAACATTATACCAAGCAAAAGAAATGACACAAAGCCACATATTATATTTCTCCATTGATAAGAAATGTGCAAGTTAGGCAAAAATCTATACGAATGGAAAGTAAATATCTCTGAGGGGAGAAACAGGGAGGTAGTTTTTTGTTTTTGTTTTTTTAAGGTTTATTTATTTATAAAGAAAGAGAGTCAGGGATCTTCCATCTGCTGGTTCACTTTCTAAATGGCCACAACAGCCGGGGCAGGGCCAGACCAATGCCAGGAGGCCAGAACTCTGTCCTGTCTCCTGTGTGGGTGGCAAGGGCCCAAGCACTTGAGCCATCTTCCACTGCTTTCCCAGGTGCATTAGCAGGGAGATGGATCAGAAGTGGAGCAGCCAGGATTCAAACTGGCACTCAGTGCTCACAGGATGCTGGCCTTTTAGGCAGCAGCTTGATCCTCTGTACCTAAGTGCCAGCCCTGGATAGTTTATCCTAACTGGTATGGGGTTTTTTTTGTTGAGGTGATGAAAATGTTTTGGGATCAATGGTAATGGTTGTATGAACTCTATAATATATACAGGATCCCTTGAGTTGTTCTCTTTTTATACTATGTGAATTATATGTATCAGTAAACTGTTGTTTTTCAAAAATCACATGCTGTGTGGTTTTCTCAGCACTGTGTGCTTTAAGAACATTGTTTTAGTGTTCTTACTTTTGAAATAGGCTGTGAACCATGTCACGTGACAATACTTAAGGGCTTTATCCACCAGTCATTTGGTTGCTTTGTGACAGTGCCAAGATTGTGTCTGATGTCAAAGCCCATAATCTTTCTACTACAGCGTAATGCCTTCTGCACCTTTTCTCATTTAGCCCTGTTTCAGATTTATAAATGTAACCCATGTTCTAGTCTATCTATGAAAGGTTAAATGTCAACATTTCTTTCTGTGGGGTCGGGATGCATGACTAAAAGAAATGGTTTTAACTTCTTTATGACCAACTTACTAGATAACTTTTAGTCTTTCTTTCTTAAGAGAAATTTCAAATAATAAATTATCTGATAATAGATAATGGAACTGTTTAGTAACAGGTTGCAGAGACTTTTTAAATTGAAGTTAAAGATAGGAAGATTTTGTTGTAGTCTGCATGAATTTTAGATTAATGTGAACTTCAAGGGTTGCTTGGCCTTAAAGACATTTTAGATTTTTTTCTGCTTTTGATTATTGTAAAGCACAACCTATAAAAACACTGAGAATAAGTGTTTATTTTCTTCTTCAGCCTCTGCAGAGGATAGAAAACGAAGTGGAACTCTTAGGAGAACATCTTCCAGTTGGAGGTTTTACATACCCTGCATCAGCTCATCCCCCAACCTTACCTCCATCAGCTCCTTTGCAATTCTTGACACATGACCCTTTGCATCAAGAGGTGTCCTTTGGAGTAGTAAGTTTCCGTACATCATTATAGATTTATTACTTGCTCTGACAATAACTTATTCTGAGTTATTTCAGCAAACATTTTTACAATTTTAAATTTTTATAATTTAAAATGTATTATTGAGAGCATTCAGTTGGAAAATTATTTAAACTGATTGTTGCATCTACTCATTAAATTTAAGAAATAAGTAATAAATAATTAATAGCACTTGAACAATTAGTAGTGAATGTAGAAATATTTTAAATTCTTTTAATATTTCCTCCCTGAAGCCTTACCCTCCATTTATGCCTCGGAGGCTCACTGGACGCAGCAGATATCATCGATCCCAGCAGCCAATACCACCACCCCCTTACCACCCCAGCTTGCTGCCATACGTATTGTAAGTCCTTTCTTTGTTATTGTAATGGTATCTGCATTTTGAAACTCTTGATTCTCTTTGTTATACAAAATCTATTTGGACTGTCACTTGGGATGTTTGTTTTACTTAATGTTAAAGGGTTGAAGTTGGGGTGAAGAGCCAGTTAAGGGTGAAAGAGAAAGAACAGAGATGGAAAAAGTTTAAGATTTTGTCCCTTTTATAGCTGACATCATTTACTGCCGTTTGCCATCACTTGATTATCCAGCACTTTTGATGCTTTTTGGGAGGGGGTGGGGGACAAAGGAGAAGACAAGTTCTTTATTTGTCTTAGAACTACTCTGTTAGGATTAAGTGTTTCTCTCTTACACACACATCATAGTCCAGGAGGTGATTCAAGGATGGTTTGTAAGCTTCCAACTATGAGGCATGGTTCTATAGCATCATTATTAAAATTTTATAGCTTCCTCTACATGACCTCAGCCTCTAGCCATCATGTCCATATTTCCAGCTGTCAAAGACAGATATGGATCCCACTGCCTGCCTGCTCTGCTCAAGTGTATTTCCAGAAGCTGCATGTATTACTCCTGCCTGCTTGTCTCACTGTCTGGAAACTGGTCACGTGTCTATAATTACCTTCTAGGAAACATAGGGATTATGGTCTTATACTAGCAGGCCATCTGCTTAACATCACACTGCTTTGACAGTTTTAGTGTTCTTTTCTCTATTATTTTAAAATCGAATAGTCTCTGATTTTAGAGTCTCTCAACCTCTTTTTTTTTTTTTTTTTTTTAAAGATTTACTTATTCATTTGAAATAAATTTTCCATCTGCTAGTTCACTCCTGTCACTCATATAGGAGATCTGGATTGAGTTTCTGGCTCCCAAATTCAGCCCTGGCCTGGTCCTTGCCTGGGCTGTTGCAGGAATTAGGGAGGGACTGGCACTGTGGCAGAGTAGTTTAAGGCTCCACCTGTGACACCAACATCCTATATGGGTGCTGGTTTGAAACCAGCTGCTCCACTTCCAATCCAGAAATTCGGGGAATAAACCAGTGGATAGAAGCTCTTCTTCTCTCTCACTCTGTGTCCCTTAAATTAAAAAACTTTGTATGTATGTGTTTTTAATTATTGAGGTTTTGGTAGGAAGTGCATAAAATCCAGAAATGAGTTATTAACAATACTGAAACTTCTAGTCTACGTGGTTTATTCATCCTTAATTTCTTTCTAACTATTCTTGCAGTTTTACTCTAGAGGTCTTACATATGTTTTATTAATATGTAATATTAATGTATCTCAAGGGTTTTTGGTTCATTTTTTTAAAATCTATTTACTTTTGGCGCCAGCGCTGTGGCACAGTAGGTTAATCCTCCGCCTGCGATGCCAGGCGCAGGTTCTAGTCCCAGCTGTTCCTCTTCCAATCCAGCTCTCTGCTGTGGCCTGGGATAGCAGTGGAAGATGGCCCAAGTGCTTGGACCCCTGCACCCACATGGGAGACGGGGAAGAAGCACCTCGCTCCTGGTTTCAGATCGGCACAGCTCTGGCTGTTGTGGCCATTTGGGGAGTGAACCAATGGAAGGAAGACCTTTCTCTCTGTCTCTCTCTCTCACTGTCTGTAACTCTACCTGTCAAATAAATAAATAAAATCTTTAAAAAAAGTAAAATAAAAAAATTTACTTTTTGAAAGGTGGGAATGGGGGGAGAGAGAGATCTTCAATCTACTGGTTCACTCCCCAGATGGCTACAACAGCCAAGGCTGGGCCAGGCTGAAGCTAAGACCTCCTTCCAGGTCTCCCACGCAGGTGGCAGGGGCCCAAGTACTGCTTTATCAGGTGCATTGGCAGGGAGTTGGATTTAAAATTGGTGCTCATATGGGATGCCGGTGTCACATCTTTGTTGCACTGGCCTTTGTCCCTTTTGTTCTAATCACTGAGTTAATTTACTAGCATATTAATGCTGATGTGGCTTTTTTTGTGTGTGTGTTTTTGTTTTGTTTTGTTTTTTTTGGCTTCAGATCAATGCTTCCAGTGCCACCTGCCGTGGGTCCAACTTTCAGCTTTGAATTGGATGTGGAAGATGGAGAGGTAGAAAATTACGAGGTTAGTAAATAAACTGTACATTAATATGAGGAGTATTGCATACATAGAAGTATTGTTCTACTCAACTCTTTGATCTAATTTAATATTCAGTGAATTATTCATTTCGAGGTGTAAATATGTCACAAAACTGTTCAGCGACTTTAAGGATGTATGAATGGGTACCACAGAGCTATGACTTTCATGTTCCATTAGAATTTTTTAAAATTAATTTATTTGAAAGAGTTACAGAAAAAGAAGGTAAGACAGAGAGATCTTCTGTCTATTGGTTCATTCCTCAAATGGCCAGGGCTGGGCCAGAAGCCAGGAACCAGGAGTTTCATCCAGGTCTTCAGAATGGGTGCAGGGGCCCAGGCACATTAGCAGGGAGCGGGATGAGAAGTGGAGCAGCCGGGACTTGATCTGGTGCCCATATGAATGTGGCATCACAGGTGGCAGCTTAACCTGCTATGCTACAGCACTGGCCCCAGCTCCATTAGAATTATATACAGTTCCATTGGTGAAATGCAAATGATAATTGTGACTTTTGATAAATTGTTCTGGAAAATTTTGTGGAAGTAGAAATGTTTGGGCTGGATCTTAACACGGGGAATTTTGTCATGCATGATTGAGACAGGGCGGGGTGCCAGCGCTGCGGAATGTGTCGGTATGTCAGTACTTCATTCCTTTTCAGTGATGAATTATAGTTCAGTAAAAGGATACACACTTCTTAAAATTCATTCAACAGCTAGTGGACATTTGGATGGATTCCACTTTTGCCCATTAGGAATAACGCTGCTATAAATATTCACGTATAAGTTCTTAAATGGGGGGCCAGCTCTGTGGCACAGCAAGTTAAGTTGCCGCCTGCAAATGCCAGCATCCCATATGGGTGCTGGTTCTAGTCCCAGTTGCTCCACTTCCAATAAACAGCTCCCTGCTAATAGTCTCAGAAAGTAGTGGAAGATGGCCCAAGTGATTGGGCCTCTGCACCCAGGTGAGACAGGGAAGAAGCTCCTGGCTCCTAGCTTCAGATTGGCCCAGCTCTGGGTGTTGTGGCCATTTTGGGGAGTGAACCAGCAGGTGTCTCTTCCTTTCTCTGTAACTCTGCCTCTCAAATAAATCTTAAAAAAAGAAAAAAAAAAAAAAAGATTGAGGCAAGGGCATGAGCATTTGGCATGGTTATTTAAAACGCTGGTTAGGATGCATGCATCCCATGTCAGAGTGCCTGGGTTTAAGTCTTGGCTCCACCCCCAGTTACAGCTCCATGTGAGACAACTAGATGGAGTTCCCGGCTCCCGGGCATATTGGGAATGAATCAGTAGATGGGAGCTCTGTCGCTGTCTTTTTCTTTGAAGACAAAAAATTGAGGCAGGGAAGCACAGGACATTCTTATAGAAAAGCATATACAGTCTGTGGTTCAAGTCAAAGGGAGAAAATGGGAAATTCGATTGAAAAGCTCACTGGATATCCTTTCAGGCCTTACTAGAAAATGGACATAATCTTGAATATTGCTGGGTGGAACTATCCACTAAATGTGTTTAATGCTTAATGGCAACAGATCTCTACTTTTGAGAATCAAACTCTGCTAGTAAAGGAATAAATGGGAATAGCTGAAATGATGTCTTAATAGGTCAGACAATAACTTATAAAACTATGCAGGGTCTGAATTTGGGGAACTTCAGCTGGGGAGCTGTCCCCAAGGCAGAGTTGTGATATCAAATTAAAAAGTACTCAGACATGTCACTGCTGTCACTGTATTAATTACTGAAATTTGGGAAGTTACTTCTGTTCTTTTCATTGTCCATTGCTATTTTTGTGATTTGTTCTCTTAACCCTATGGCAGCCTGAAAAATGAATAAAAGTAGTTCATAAAAGACAGCCTAATTGTAGGATAAAGCAAATGAGACTCCAGAGTCAGTAAAATACGGAGAAAGGAGGTACCAGTGTGAAAGCAGTGAGCATAATAACCAGTGTGTTAACTCACCAATACGTTTTAATACGTTAAAGCCTCTGGGTGCCTCCAAAAAGAAACACATCAATCTCATGTGTCCTGCCTTTCCTAGATGAATTACATAGGATAGCATTACTCAGTATTTCAGCTAATAAATGAAGAAAGTGATAAAATTAGAATATTATCATTTTGGGGCAGGCATTGTGGCCTAGCAGATTAAGCTGCTGCTTGGGATGCACAAATCCCGTATTAGAGCCAGTCCAAGTCTTGACGCCTCTGCTTCTGACCCAGCATCCTGCTAATGCTTCTGGGAGACAGTGAATAACGACTCAATGGTTTGGGCTCCTACCACCCTGGGTGGTGCTCTAGACTCTTGATTTCAGCCTGGCCCAACCCTGGCTACTGAGGAACTGTGAGAAGTAAACCAGCAGATGGAAGATCTCTCTATTACTCTGCCTTTCAAGTAGTTGAAAATAGACTTTTTTTTTTTTTTTTTAAAGAAAGCACTTTTATCCTTAATGAATTTATGATGGAATGTTCAAAATATGTCTTTTAGAGCAGTGGTTTTCAGCCTAAGGTCAGTTTTGGTCCCAGGAGATACATGGCAATGTCTGGAGACATTTCTGGTTGTTAAGATGGGGGTGCTGTTGCATCTCTCCGGAAGGAGGCCGGAAGTTCTGCTCTCTGTTCTGCAGTGCCCAGGACAGTCCCCACAGCACAGAACTGTCCAGCTCAGAAGGTCCAAAGTGCTGAGATGGATACAAATTGTGTTTCAAAGATGCACACAAACTATTTTACCTAACAGTAGGTATTTCAAAATAACTTGGAACTTAGGTGAAATGAAGTAATAGCCATGGATTGTGGAGACAGGATAACAATAAGCATATGTGAGTTTGTTACTTTTTCTGTTTTTGCACATGCATTGAAATTTTCCATTCGAGGAGAGATGAAAATCTGCCCTTTTTCTCTGCAGGCCCTGTTAAATCTGGCAGAGCGTCTGGGAGAGGCAAAGCCTCGAGGACTGACAAAAGCTGACATTGAACAACTTCCTTCTTACAGGTTCAATCCTAACAACCACCAGTCAGAACAGACCTTGTAAGTATATTTTCCTGACATCACTGCTCAATTTCTAGATCTGCCTTTTTGAACAAGAGCTTGAATAGTCCAGGATAACTTGAATAAGTTCTATCTAGCTCATACTCTAGGTTTGTGCGGTCCAACTAATCTACATGGAATCATTAAAAATTTTGAATAAAATTAAAACTTAAATGTTTTTAAAGATTTATTTATTTATTTGAGAGGCAGAGTTACAGGTAGAGAGAGAGAGAGGTCTTCCATCTGCTGGTTCACTCCCCAAATGAATACAATGGCCACAGCTGGGCTGATCTGAAGAGAGGAGCTTTTTTTTTTTTGGCGCAGCATGACAAATTTATTGTGCCATGGTTTGCAAGTAAATTAATAGCTTCCACTCTTACTAATGTACATAGTTATGAAGCTATTTGGTGGTTTAAAGCAACAGCAAAAATTTGCACTTTGTTCAAATAGTCCTTCCAGTAGGTGCTGAGAACTCTTTACTCAGATTAGCAGTCCCTGTGATCTGGTGTGGCCAGGATCTGGCCCCATCTCTGTGTGGAGGTAGCAGTCAAAGGGAGGTGGTAAGCTTCTAGCTCCTGGATGGCAACCAAGTTTTTGCCACCACTTTATTCACCCTTTTTAAAAATTATGGTGGCATTAACTATGTGTCAAACACCATTTTGAGTGCATTCACAGTCTACTTCATCATTATAACAATGCTATGAGGCGAGAATATTATTCCTACTTTATTGGTAAAGAAAGTGAGTCATAAGGACTCCACACACCCGGTGGTCAATGAAGCTGGAATTCAGACCCAAGCATCCTGGCCCCTAGGTCCATGTTCTTTAATTAGCCTAGGATTCCAGCTTCTAAGCCAGGAGCTGCTTCTGGGTCTCCCACGTGGGTGCAGGGACCCAAGGACTTGGGCCATCTTCCACTGCTTTCCCAGGTCATTAGCAGGGAGCTGGATTGGAAGAGGAGCAGCTGAGACTCAAACCAGCACCCATACAGGACACACGCACCACAGGCTTACGATTAACCTGTGCCACAGCACCAGCCCCAAATCTAATTTTCTTAGTCACATTAACTTGGGATTACTGTTTTGAGATGTATATAAGCAGAGTGTTTGAATTCAAGATTTCTTGACATTTTTATTATTGTTTCTAATTCAAGCTTCAGACTCATAACATTGAAAGGTTTTACAGTTTGAGGATTTTTATCTGAAAATTCTGATCACAGTATCTTTTTTAATAGAAACTTTTATTAATATACAATTACTTACCCTGAAATTTACTCTTAAGATTTGGGCTGGGCATTGTGGTATGGCAGGTTAAGCTGCTACTAGCAACACTCACATACCATGGGTCCTGTGCTTCCAGGTGAGCTTCCTGCTAATGCACCCTGGGAGTGCCTGGGCCCCTGCCTTCCATGTGTAGACCTCGATGGTTAGCCTGGCCCAGCCATGGCTTTTGGAGGCATTCAGGGTGTGAACCAATGGATGGAAAATCTCTCTCTCTCTCTATTTCCATCACTCTGCCTTTCAAGTAGATGAAAGTAATATTTAGGTTCATAATTGAATGGCTTTTGGTATATTTATGGAGATGTGTAACTGTCATCACAATCAAATTTAGACCCTTTTCATCACCCCAAAAGAAACACTTTACACATTAGCAGCCACTCCCTGTATCTTCCCCAATCTTTTCCTCTCTACCCCAACATTCCCCCCTCCCATTTACTTTGTGTGTCTGTAGGATGCTATGGAGATAGAATCATTTAATATGTGTTTTTCTGTCTGGCTTCTTTGACATAGCCTAATTTTTTCAAGTTTCGTCTGTGTTGTAGCTTGTATTAGTAAGTCAGCTGTTTTATGGCTACATAATAAATAGTCCATTGTATGGATACAACATATTGTTTATCCTTTTATCTACTGGACATTTGGTTTGCTTCTACTTTTTAGCTATTACTATGCATATGTTGACTGAACACTTGTGTACAAGTTTTCCTGTGGATATGTTTCACTGCTTTTGGTATATGGCAGGCAGGGTATGCTTAGGAGTGAATTGCCAGGTCATGTGGTAACTACACATTTAACTTTTTGAGAACTGCCAGTTTTTCCACAGTGGGTATACCATCTTATATTCCCACCAGCAATGTACAAAGTTAAATTTCTCTAGATGGTCTCTTTTATACCCATCCTGATGGGTGTACAGTGCTATCTCATTGAGGATTTGATTTTCATTTTCCCAAAGGCTAATGGTGCTGAGCATCATTTCATGTGCTTAATGGCCATTTGTGTGTGTATATGTATGGTATGTATGTGTGTGCATATGTATTTACACATATATTTTTTTTTTAATGTTTAATTTCATCCACTTGAAAAGCAGAGCAACAAAAAGGGAAGACAGATAATTTCTGTCTGCTGATTCACTCTCCCAAGTGCCTACAACAGCCAGGTCTGGGCCAGGCAAAAGCCAGGAGCCTGTAACTCCATCCTAGTTTCCCACATGGGTGGCAGAGATCCATGTACTTGAGCCATCATCTGCTACCACCCAGGATGCATTAGCAGGAAGCTGAATCAGAAGCGGAGTAGCTGGGACTTGACCTGGTACTCTAATATGGGATGCAAGAGTCCTCTAAGTGGCAGCTTAATCCACTGTGCCACATTGCCTGCCCCAGTAGATCTCTGGAGAAATGTCTGTTTAGATCCTTTGTCCATTTTTTTTTTTTTAAAGACTGTTTATTTAATTGAAAGAGTTAGAGGGAGACAGATCTTTCAGCTACTGGTTCACTCCCCAGATAGCTGCAATGGTCAAGGCTGGGCCTGGGCCGGAGCCAAGAACTAGGAGCTTCTTCCAGGCCTCCCACGTGGGTGGCAGGGGCCCAAGAACTTGGGCTATCCTCTACTGCTTTTCCCAGGCAAATTAGCAGGGAGCTGAATCAGAATCCAGAATTCGAACTGGTGCCCATATGAAACGCACTGCAGGTGACAGCTTTACTCACTATGCCACAATACTAGCCCCTTTGACCATTTTTGATTGGATTGTCTTTCTAACATTGAGTTGTGGAAGTTCTTTATATTTTACAAATACAAATCCCTTCTAAGATCAATGATTTTCAGAAGTGTCTCCCATTTAGTTTCCTTTGAAGCACAAATTTTTAAAAATTTTGATTATACTTTATCTCCTTTTTGTTGTTTCGATGTCATCTGTAAGAAACCCAGCTGCTCCACTTGGATCCAATTCCCTGCTAACAGCCTGGGAAAGCAGTGGAATGTGGCCCAGAATGCTTGGGCCCCTGCACCCACGTGGGAGACCTGGAAGAAGCTCCTGGCTCTTGGCTTTGGATCAGCCCCACTCTGGCCATTTGGGGAGTGAACTAGCAGATAGAAGACTTCATCTGACTGTAGCTCTGCCTCTCAAGTAAATCTTTTTTTAAAAAAATGGCTTTAGGCCGGCGCCACGGCTCAATAAGCTAATCCTCCACCTAGCGGTGCCAGCACACCGGGTTCTAGTCCCGGTCGGGGCGCCGGATTCTGTCCCGGTTGCCCCTCTTCCAGGCCAGCTCTCTGCTGTGGCCCGGGAAGGCAGTGGAGGATGGCCCAAGTGCTTGGGCCCTGCACCCCATGGGAGACCAGGATAAGTACCTGGTTCCTGCCTTTGGATCAGCGAGGTGCGCCGGCCGCAGCGCGCCAGCCGTGGCGGCCATTGGAGGGTGAACCAACGGCAAGAAAAAGGAAGACCTTTCTCTCTGTCTCTCTCACTGTCCACTCTGCCTGTCAAAAAAAAAAAGGCTTTTAATCCATTTTTTAAATTTTTATATATATAATGTGACATCTTCATTATTTTACTTGTGACTCTCCTGTGGTTTCATGCTAGTAGCAGTAGTATATTATCTTCATTATGAATACTGGCTTGGTATTAGAAATTTCTTCATAATCTGTCAATAAATTAAAGTACTCAAAAGTCTTAAGATCATGATTTTCATCTAAAATTTATGTGACATTTTGATAACTGAGAATGCTGAGTGGTTTTGTGGGCTTCGGTAGTCAAAATAGAAAACAACCCAGTTTTATATTTATAATAAGTTAAATGATTTGTTTTTTTTTTCTAGGTGTGTAGTGTGCATGTGTGATTTTGAGTCAAGGCAGCTACTTAGAGTCTTACCCTGTAACCACGAGTTCCATGCCAAGTGTGTTGACAAATGGCTTAAGGTAAAGTGATAGCATATGCAAAGGAAAGGACATTATTGAATTTTCTATTTTAGTGACAACAGGTTCATTATAAGTCCATGGGTTAGTGAAGTGTGGGCACCAGAGACAAAATTGAAACACAGCTTTAAGAGAATGACTTCTGCACATGAAAAAGACGAGTAAAAATGAACCATTGGGATCAACATGGGAGTGATTATGCATACTTGAGAGAGAATGGGTTCCATGTCCTTGAAAGTATGTCCTGACCTCCTTACAGTAATGGACACATTACCTCAGCGAGTAGGACACCTCATAGCACCCCTTTGAAGTCTGTAGGGAATAAACAGTCTAGTGCTTTCACTTACTTCTGACCATTTTCTCCTTTATATATATAAAGTACAGAGGACTCAAATTCCTAACACTGGTATTGACAGAGTGAAATTACTGCAGGATTTTTTTTAAAAAAAGTTTACTTTTCATACTTTCATAGTCTTAAATTATAAAAATGTGATATGGAAAGAATTCATTCCATGTTATTTTTCTAAATTGATGGTCTGATTTGGATATAACTTCATAGTTTGGTAAAATAGATGAGTTAAATAAGTTCTTTGAGTAAGCATAGTTCAAGGGTACCTACTGAATCACAAAGAATGTTAACTTTTTAGAAAAAAACAAGCATTATACGTAGAAATCTGACATGAGAATTAAAAAAAAAATTCAACGTTTCATGTAGCCGATAGCTGGCATAAGAGAGAGTAGCAAGATAAGTTCAGAGATGGGGCCTAGCGTGTATGAAGGTATGGGGAGTTAAGGAAGGACAAAATTGAGATTGTATCACGTCCTAAATTCACATGGAATATGACAGGGTAAAACAGAATGAGCAGTGGCAACTGGAAGAAACCAGGGCTGATTTGAGAGCTGTTGTAATCTAGAAGTGAGTGTATTTGGTGAATAACGGATTGTAGGAAGCACAAGAGTAGGTGATGCTTTTGTTCTGGCTTTAGCGACTCAGCAAATGCTGATGCCCTCTGAAGTGGAGAAAGAGTAGGTTTCAGAGCCAGCAGAGGGGTGAGTACAGAGGGATACTATCTGGGAAGTAAAAGTTAACTCCATTATGTTTAACATATTTTTCCTGGAACTCACAGTTCAGATGCATTTCTCTTTGTTTTCCAGGCAAACCGTACTTGCCCAATTTGCCGAGCTGATGCTTCAGAAGTGCATCGGGATTCAGAATAACCAACCTAAGAGCACAAATTGAGTTTGGGTGTTCCTCATCACATGTATATACGGACTATCCATTGAACTTACTCTGTGTGGCTTCCAGCCCTCCCTTTACCAAAAGGGTCAATGGACCTTTCTTTGCACTGTGTGACTTAATCAACTATAAAAGCTTACAATTAGTCTTCACAATTATGGGATTGTTATACTAACTGTGTGATTGGAACTCCAAAGACTTTTTCTTTAGCTTAATTTTGTGTGTGCACTAACATTCCCTGGTTTTTGTGTGATCGTTCGAGTGTTGCTGCAAGATTACAGTGGACATGATCTTTTAGCATGTGCTTTTATAAAAAGTGGTAGCTCCAGATGATATAGCAATCTACCTTATATAGAGCCTTCAGAAACTGTGAGTGGAAATGAATGCAGTATGACTGCTGGTGATAAATGTATCTGTGTGCGTGAGAGAGTGTGTGCAACTACCTGTGTGAGGGCATGGTAGCTAACGTGTGTATGAGATCCTATATACCAGCATGTACCAAGAATGTGTGTGTAGTTTTAATTATGCTGCAATGTATAATCTGGTGTGTTATTTAAACAGCACTAGTACTGTACACTGGTTTCTCCCTTGTGTTTGCTGTTGCACACTGATTGCTAAGGGTGCATCCATTCTAAGCATTGAGTCCTCCGTTCCCTTCCTTCTCAGTGAATGGAATGAGGGAAGCCTTCTTCCTTTGCTTCAGGCAGCTGTCACCTTCTCTTTGGTGGTCCTAGGTGGGTCACTTGAGGAAAAAAAAGTGTAACAGATTCTCACTCCATGAACCTAATTTTTTCATTCTGTTGTGAAAAAGAAATTTTTAAGCCTGCAACTTGCTGTTTCCAAAAAGAAGGTGCAATATCATACATCATCAGTTAGCAATATTAGCATTTCAATCAGTGATTTGAATGTTGATGCTTTCTTGTTATTCTTTTACATTTCCAGTAAGCTTCTTACAGAAAGTACCTGCAGTTTTTTCTTTTTAATGTTTAGATTTGTAGTCTATTCTGAAGATATTTGAGTAATATATTTCTAAGAATCCCACTGGTCTCATGAAGTCTCTCCTTGACTTCCACCAGAACACAGTCTTACTGAGCGTGACTTCTGGTGCGTTCAACTCATAGGCAGCCCAGTTTTAACTCTTCGTATTCATTCTCCTGTCAAGCTGCTGTTCTGAGCATCGTGCAGTTGCTCTTCTCATCAAAACCTCGTTTCACAGCGGGTCAAGCGCTGTGACAGCACCTGTTCCTTGCACCTGAGGCTTTGAAGTTTTACTTCTTTTCCTTTTTTGTTTGAATGAGAAAAGTTTAATGCAACAGGTGTTCAGAATACTTGCAGTATAAATGAAGATTTGATTTTTGTTTTAAAAAATAATGCCGTCAAAACAGGAATTGACCTTCATTTAGCCATTCGAAGTATGACTAATACATAGCTGTATGGGATTTTTTTTAAAATAGGTTCATTGAGCATAATTCAGGTTGTTTAAGTCATTTTTCCAATAACATTTCAATTCCTTTCTTACTGTAATGCATCCAACACTGTCTGCCCCTCCCGCAGTTGAGCTCATTGCTGTGTCGCAGGAGCACACGCTGCAGTTCCAGCGGAACTGCCGGGCTTCCGCTCACAGTGTTAGCTACTTGGTCCTGCCATGCTGCGTGCCCCTCCCTTGAAGTCTTTTTAAGCTCATCACAGCCTAGAGTTGAGCAGAGTCAATTCACACAGAAGCACAAGTTCGCCCTTTTCCAGACACCGTTGCCTCTATCTAGTCATACAAATAGGATTTTTAATGCTGTTTGCCCCTAGATTTGTCACGGCACCTAAACAGCGGCAATACACACCTGTTACTTTTGAGTCATTAGGATAATCTCCCACCTGTTCCTGATGAATAGAAAACTGGTAAAGACCAAAATTATTGATATAATAATCAACTACATACCAATCACGTATAGTTTAACCTTTATTTTTTTTAATTAAAAAATCATGTTTAAAAAGGCAAAAGCCCAACTTATATGTAGACTTTTATATAGTTGCAAAAAATTTATATCTGTACAGATCTAACATAACACTACTACACTCAGTATTCATTTTATTGAAGCATGCAAATAAAGCACTTTTTCTAATTTATATAGAGATACCTGATTAACAAGGCACATTGTACTAATGACTAGGAAAGTAGCTGTTCCTCCCCCCCTCGGACTATGATTCCTGTCACGTCCTTTTTGCAGTAAATGTTCAAGAGGCAGTTGGCAGTTTAGGAGGCAGCAGGGTCTGTGTTGGTAGAAATCCTGAGTTGAATCTCTCGGGATGTCTTTCCTTTGCATGGGGCTCTTGGGGGTGCAGACTTTTCTGGCAGGCAGTTAGTGCATTGTTGAACCAGCTCAGACCAGCCAGTGAGCAACTTTGTAGCTAACAAAAGAGAAACAACAGTTGCCCAGTTGTTGCCATCTTGGGTGATGCCCCAGATAGCAGACAGGGTTGCCTTGGTCCTCTTTCCTCCTAAAACAAATACTGAGGTCGCCATCTTAACTCAGCTGTGGGTTTTTTTGGTTGGGATGACTTTTTTTTTTTTTTTTTAAATACACACACGCACACGCGCACACACCTCCAGGTATCCAGATCTCTTTATTTTCTGCCCAGATTGTTGGGGGAGGGTGGGGGAACCAAATCTGGAAGATGTGAAAGCGTGTTTTAGATTTTATACACCCTGAAATGTGATTTGTTAAGATTCTTAAATTGGGGCCTCTTGTCATAATTTTGAATGAGATCTACCAACTCACTCATGAGAGTATTTTTCACAAATGTCTTCAGGCCTTCATCAGAAAGCTGTTTTCCCCTGCTGGTACATTTGGTTACCTCAATTTGCTGTTTGTTTCAGATTATGAAAGCTCACAGGGGTGTGTGTTAGAATCATTTGCTGAGTCATTTCCTCAAATCATATTCCACTGTATCAGTTAACATATAGTTTTAAATGTATGTATTATAAATATCTGTAACCAAATCATTTGAAGGCTTGATAAATTTTTAACAAAGTTTGTACATTTTTTATGAAAGTTACTAGTAATGCTTTACTAAGTAGTGCAATGAATTTTTATTTTTAATCCCTGTGCCCAATTTTGGAGTTGAGAGGGTTGTTGGTAATAAATGTATGATGTACACTTAAAACACTTGTGTTTCCTCTGTTAGAGAAGTGCTAAGTGGGCAGCGGTGGGATGGGGTTCCAGCAGGAAGATGGAGCTGGGTTGAGCTACCAGCTGCCAGATTTAATTTTTAGGTTGTATTTCAGGTTTTGTTTCATCATTTGTGTAAACCTAGAAACACAAAAGCAACTAGCATTTATGACATGGCATATATTCATATTTGTTAAAAAGCCACGGAACAGCATAGCAGGAAGAGTGTAGCCACACATGTAGGAAATGTTTTCTATGTACGTCAGCCAGAAGGTGCAGGAACAAGGTTATTGTAATTGAGCACATTCGTTCACAGGAGCGACAGTTTACATCCCGCCTATTGGCAACGTGATGGAAGGGAGCCTTGCCCGTCACCCATGGATGTCCGTACCGTGGCTTTCCTTTCACTGAACAAGTCTCCATGTGCTGTTCCCGAGGTGACATGTTCTGATCAGTACTCAGCTGACAGAAGTGTTCAGAAAAGTAAGCAAGTCCTCATTTCCCCCAGCACACCTGGGAGACTCCCTGGGAGAGGGCTCCATCTAAGGAGGCTTTTGTGACACCATCATGATTCCTTAATAAGCCAGAGCCCTTATTTGTACCACAGTATAAAGTTCTTAATGCAGTCGGAACATAGACAAGTCTGGTGTGCTTCAGACTACTGAACTAGATAGTGCTATCCAACAACTAGCCACATAAATTTTAAGTTTCTGATGGTCATGTTAAGAAGTACAAAGGAAACAGCTGAAGTTCTAAAAAGCATTTCTGGGGCCAGTGCTGTGGCATAGCGGGTTCGGCCGCAGCTTACAATGCGGGCATCCTATGAGTGCTGGTTTGAGTCCCGGCTGCTCCACTTCTGATCCAGCTCTCGTGTGGCCTGGGAAAGCAGAATTGGCCCAAGTCATTGGGCCTCTGCACCCACGTGGGAGACCCAGAAGAGGCTCCTGGCTTCAGATCGGTGCAGCTCCAGCCATTGCAGCCAACTGGGGAGTGAACCAGTGGATGGAAGACCTTTTTCTCTCTCCCTCTCTCCCCCTCTCCTCTCCTCTCTCTCTGTAACTCTCAAATAAATATTTTTTTTTGTAAGTATTTCTTACTAGGCACAAGGAGAGAGAAATCTATTGCTGGTTTCCTCTCCAAATCCTACAACAGCCAACGCTGGGCCAGGCCAAAGCCAAGAGCTGGGGATTCAATCCAGGTCTCCCATGTGGGTGACAGGGTCCCAAATATTTGAGCCACCACTGCTGCCTCCCAGGGTCTGCATTAGCAGGCAGCTGAATCAGTAGAGCTGGGAATTGAACCCAGACACTCCAGTATGGGATGCAGATATCCTCATGTGGCGTCTCCTAGACACTGTGTCAAACACCCACTCTGAAACCATTTTTAGTGTATTTTAACATACCCAAAATATTTCAGTATATAATGAGTATAAATTTTTTTTTTTTTTGAGAGGCAGAGAGAAAGGTCTTCATTCCGTTGGTTCACCCCCTAGTGGCCGCTGCGACCAGCATGCTGTGCCAATCTGAAGCCAGGAGCCAGGTGCTTCCCCCTGGTCTCCCATGCGGGTGCAGGGCCCAAGCACTTGGGCCATCCTCCACTGCACTCCTGGGCCACAGCAGAGAGCTGGACTGGAAAAGGAGTAACCGGGACAGAACCCGGGGTGCCAGCGCCGCAGGCAGAGGATTAGCCAAGTGAGCCGCGGCACCAGCCCCAGTATTTTCTATTTTCTCACACAAAGTCTCCAAAATCCAGGGACATCTCAGTTGACTAGCCACACCACAAATGCTCAGCACCCACAGGTGGGTGGGAGCCATCACACTGGACGGCACAGGTCCAGACCAGAATTATGCCCAGTTATTTATTTTTTAATTAAAGATTTATTTATTTGAAAAGGTTACAGAGAGGCAGAGAAGAAAGAGGTCTTCTATCTGCTGGTTCACTCCCCAAATGGCTGCAAATGGCATATTAGCAGGGAGCTGAATCGGAACTGGAGCAGTCGGGACTCGAACCAGCACCCACATGGAATGCCAGCACTGCAGGTGATGGCTTTACTCGCTATGCCACAATGTAATTTTTTTCCTTGTATGCCTTAAACTGCAATGTATTAAGCCTTTTAACGTGTATAGTTGAATGTTAACTTTTACTGTTAGACACACAACGAATATTTTTAAAGGAGGCATAATTGTGGGCTTCATCTGTATGGCTGCCCTCGATCGTATTCAAGAACAGAGTTCCTTGTCAGTAAAGTCCCAAATTATACATTGTCTACACCTTTGGGGTTTGTAGCTATTTAAGAAGTAGTTAGGCAGTCATAACATTTGGCATTCTGAGAAAATGAGGGTAGGAAGCATTCAACCCCTTTGATGGAGTAGATTCCTAGTGAGAGCTTAAGAGTGCACATTATCTGTGGCATAGAAGGTTAAGCCACTGCCTGCGACACCTGCATTCCACATGGGCGCTGGTTCGAGTCCCAGCTGCTCCACTTTGATTCAGCTCCTTGCTAATGCACCTGGGAAAGCAGCAGGGGGTGACCTAGATCCTTGGGCACCTGGCACCAGTGTGGGAGACTGGAAGAAGCTCCTGGCTTTAGATCTGCTCAGCTGTGGCTGTTGCGGTCATCTGGGGAGTGAACCAGCAGATAGGAGACTTCTCCCCTCTCCCCTCTCACCTCTCCCCTTTCTCCCCTCCCTCAAACCTTGGTTCTTGGCCTACACATGGAACGAGGAATGGTAACTGGTTAAGAACTGCACACTGGCAGTCTGCTAGTGCCCAGCACCAAACATGTTGACAAGCTGCCATGCGGGCCTTCTTTTCTGCAATCCAGTTTGACCTCTTTATGGACTGCGTGCATAGTAGGGAAAGTTGTACTCTTTGTGCAACTCCACAATTTTTTGCCAGGCAGAGTTAGACAGTGAGAGACAGAGTTATAGACAGAGAGAGAGAGAAAGGTCTTCCTTCTGTTGGTTCACTCCCCTAATGGCCACCACAGCTGGCGCTGTGCCGATCCGAAGCCAGGAGCCAGGTGCTTCCTCCCAGTCTCCCATGGGGTGCAGGGCCCAAGCACTTGGGCCATCCTCCACTGCACTCCCGGGCCACCGCAGAGAGCTGGACTGGAAGAGGAGCAATGGGACTAGAACCTGGGGTGCCAGCACCGCAGGCGGAGGATTAGCCAAGTGAGCCGCGGCACCGGCCACACAATTTTGTTTTGTAAATGTAAAACTTGTGGGGGAAAAAAAGCCTAACAATTTGACCTGGAAGTTAAAGGGGCTCTCTCACTCCTTTTTCCTGAAGCCAAAGAGAAACCTCGGTCATGTTCTCACAGGGCTCTGAGCAGCGCAGCCTCTTAGTGCATGAAGCTGAGCATGGCACACACCACCAGGGGTGTGTGTGTGTGTGTGTGTGTGTGTATGCGAGCGCAAACAAGCAGTGTCCTTTAGAGGGGGCGGCCGCACAGGAACAAGAAGGCAGCCGTGTCTGCGCAGACAATGGCGGCTCATGAACCTCAAGACCACCCCAGTCAGTGAGGAACCCAGACACCAAGGCTCCGTGTGTGACCCCACTGACACGAAATGTCCCCATGAGACAATCCACAAAGACAGTGGGGTGAGGTTGCCCAGGGTCCCAGGTACAGGAAGGCCAAGGCTGACGGCTGAGGAATGCGGGGCTCCCCTGGGGGCGCAGGAGAATCTGCTGAAATCAGCTGTGATGGATGCCGGACCCTCTGACTACAGAGAAAGGCCTCTGAATTGCGCACTGTCAAAGAGGAAACTATACGGCAGGTAAAACGTATCTTCACAATGTTGCCCAAAAAGCACAGTGCATGGACCCACCAGAATATCGAAGTAAAAAATGAACAAGACCGGGTGAAGACACTCTCCTTTGCTGCCGAGGGAATATGAATCGGTGCCACCTGCCTAGGAGCATGCGCCTTACCTGCTATGGCTGAGCACCCTGTGCCTGCTCCTTTCTGGCCCAGGTTGGCACCCCTCAGGAACACACAACGCACCGAGGGCTTCACGGGAGTGTTCTCAGTAACCACAATAGCTCCAAACTGGCAACAAGGCAAATGGGCCTCACCTAAGGGATCAGTACCTCGTGACTTTCAAATAAATAAATCTTTAAAAATAAACAGTAGGCCCCACCCACCCATGACCCACTTAATAGAAACACAGCTATATAGTGCACAAGCACAAATATATTTTTAAAAATGATTATTTGAAAGTTACAGAGAGGGAGAGACAGAGAGATCGATCTTCCATCTGCTGGTTCAACTCCCCAAATGGCCACAATGGCTGGGGCTGGGCCAAGCTGAAGCCAGGACCTTCAACTGGGTCTCCTAAGTGGGTGGCAGGAGCCCACATACTTGGCTCCTCTTCCACTTTCCCAGGCACGTTAGCAAGGAGCT